CATATCTGCTATTGAATTTGATAGAAGTGGTGATCACCTTGCTACTGGAGATCGTGGAGGTCGGGTGGTTTTGTTTGAAAGGACTGACACTCGTGACGTATGTATACTAAGTGTTTTCTTCTTTATATTTCTGAAGCTAGGTTCTTTCATGCACTATTTTTCTCCAGTGTTCTGTTGTTGCATTTTGTAATATGGTTCTGTGATATAAATGTACCATATGTAGCATGTTGGACATCGAAGAGATTTAGAGAGAATGGATTATCCAATAAACAGGCACCCTGAGTTTCGCTATAAAACAGAGTTTCAGAGCCATGAACCTGAGGTATTTATGTGTGGTATATGGCATACTTAAACATAGAATTGTTTGGGTTTACATACTTACACATTTCTGGCCTTGAACATCTATTGAAATGTTCAACTTTATTGGTTTAATACAGTTTGACTATCTTAAGAGCTTGGAAATTGAGGAGAAAATTAACAAAATTAGATGGTGCCAGTCAGCTAATGGTGCTCTGTTTCTTTTGTCTACTAATGACAAAACAATCAAGTTCTGGAAGGTAGGTAAAGCATATTTTTTTTTTATTCTGGATTTTACTCTTATGAAGTTCTACACAGATTGGTATAGTGATGGTCTCCCTGTAAATATTTTTCAAAGGAGAATCAAAATTCAAAAAGCACTGACACAGCAAATCTACAAATGTAACCTTGCTAGTTAGTTTTTCTAATTCCATTTCTACTTTGGACAGGTTCAAGAAAAGAAGGTTAAAAAAGTATGTGACATGAATATGGACTCCACAAAAGCCATGGGAAATGGTCCTATTGTTGGTTCAAATATATCAACAAGCTCCAAACAGTACATTGCAAATGGAGGATGCACAAGCAATGAATTTTCATTCCCTACTGGGGGTTTCTCATCTTTGCAGTTGCCTGTGGTAGTTGTACTCAATCCAGATTCTAAGAATAACAATTAAACTTTCATATATTTTGATTCTTTCAGAACCTATTATGTTAGTTTTGTCATGTTTCAAGAGCTGGTTTCTGCAATGTTTTATATGTCAACATTATTGTATATATGATTTGCTGATCTAACACTTAATGCTTCTGTTGTAATTAGGTAACCAGTCATGAGACGAACCTTATGGCTAGATGTCGAAGAATATACGCTCATGCTCATGACTATCATATTAATTCCATATCCAATAACAGGTATGTCCACTTATTTGATTGAATTTAGCCCCGACCTCTTTTTCCCCTCTTAATCCTTATATATGGTACATGTCTTTTATTTTCTATTGAGATTCCACTTTATTGCGGCTGAGTTTTTTTATAATTTGTGTGTGTGGATGGGGTGGGGTGGGGGGCATTTAGAAAAATTATAGATTGAGAGAGTCATAGAAATTGCTGTTTGATTTTTGAACCTGAAATGCTTGGTGTTCTAAGGTATCATGTTCATGATTTTACTAAATACTTATTGTTCCTTTCTTCTTGATTTGTATAAGTTCCTTTCTTCTTGATTTGTAGTGATGGTGAAACTTTTATTTCGGCTGACGACCTGCGAATTAATCTGTGGAACCTGGAAATTAGCAACCAAAGTTTTAACATCGTCGATGTGAAACCTGCAAATATGGAGGATTTGACCGGTGGGAATCCATTTCCAAAATTTCAATTATTTATCTATTTGGATTTTTTTAATTGTTTATCTTCTGTTGCTTATTAAGAGTTTAGAGTTGGTTATTATTAGAATCAACTCTCTCTCTCTCTCCTGTTCTTCATTGACTCTCTTCACTTTACTGTTTGGCGTTTGCAAACATCAGTGCTGCCAATTTATGATGTTTCCCTAAAAAGTAAGACTATATGTATTTCTCATGTCTGTATGATTCATTTGCTTGCATTCATACTTGCAGAGGTGATAACTTCAGCAGAATTTCATCCTACACACTGTAATATGTTAGCATATAGTAGTTCAAAGGGTTCAATTCGTCTTATTGATATGCGCCAGTCTGCGCTGTGTGATACTCACAGCAAATTGTAAGTGACATGTGGTATTTCTGTTTTTTATTGGTTTATTTATTATAGTGCTTGGATCATTATTAGCTTTAGATACTTTAATTGTGTTTTCTTTCATGTTGTTTTCTCTATGTTTTTATAAGAATTTTGATGGTATAGGTTTGAGGAACAAGAGGCTCCCAGCTCCAGGTCTTTTTTCACAGAGATCATAGCATCAATCTCAGACATTAAGTTTGCCAAGGATGGAAGACATATCCTAAGTCGTGATTACATGACCCTTAAGGTTGATATATTTTTATGTGAAATTAGTTTTTCTCTTTTGAGCAGCACTTTGCTGTTGTGTCATAACTACCAGATGTGATGCTAGTATAATAGCTGAATTTCTATATTTATTTACTCCTTCCTTCTCTTCTATTGTTCTGTAACAAGGTTTTGGTTTCTTGGCTGTCAGTTGTGGGACATAAATATGGATTCTGGTCCAGTTGCGACTTTCCAGGTTCATGAATATCTTAGACCAAAGGTAATATATTCTTCTAAGATTCTTTGTAGGGTTTAGGTAATATTTAAAAAAGAGACACTACATTTACCCTATATGATGGGTGATTTTTTTCTTTCTTGGACCTTGAGCAGCTTTGCGATCTTTATGAAAATGATTCTATCTTTGACAAATTTGAGTGTTGTCTAAGTGGAGATGGACTTCGAGTGGCTACTGGTTCCTACAGGTATAGTTTAGACATTTGAATAATTCTTTTTATCATCTTAAATAAAACATCAACAATATGGAAGGACCTGGTCATTATATATTTTTTGGGAAATCATAAGATATCATCCATTAATAAATAGGGAATGGAAAAAATTCCCATGGCAAGAACATCATCAAGATGGCTGCATATTGGTTGATATGCCTTTAGACAAAGATAAGCATATTTCCCCAATACACTATCAAGGCACCAAACAAAAGAGCCCATCAGAACGAAATAAGCTGCTGGGTGTGAACCTATGCAATCAACAATGCACACAATCCCAGCAAGCAGAAAACAAAACTTAAAAGGCATGAATGTACAAGAGAAGGAATCCAAGAGATTCCATCATCAACCAGTATATAATGTAGTGTTTTTTGTGACTCCAGCAATCTGTTTCGGGTGTTTGGTTGTTCTGAAGGTAGTACAGAAGCAACAACACTGGAAGCCAGCAAAAACCCAATGAGGTATGTTCTGAGGTTGTTGGCTATTGTAGATATAATGATGTGAGTAGCTGTCGGAGGGACTTGTTTTACTTTTCTTGGTTTGTGAAGTCTTGAATCAAAAGGTATGTCTCATTTATTGTTAGAGATTCACTTTGTAATTTATGCAATGAATTTCCAGGAGACAAAGTCAGACATCATCAAGGCCTTCAAGATCTCTTGGTAGCCTCTCTGGTGTTGTCAGACGTGGTATGTGTTGCACACCCTTCTTACAAAGTCCAGACATCTGGATTGTGTTCCATCAGTTTAATTTCTCTCCCTTTATTTTTGTATAACGACTTCTTTTAATCACTGGGCTGTGATATTAGTGAATTAGGCTTAAAACCTTTTTCTAAGGTAACTAGTTTTTGAACAATTATTGATTCATGGAAAGTATTTATTTTTTCGACTTTTGTACGTTTGCTTGAGGTTCATTTAGCATTTATGTCTCCATGCATCTCTTTGTTTCCACTTTCAGTGAAAGGAGCAGATAACTCGGGAGTTGATGCAAATGGAAATGCTTTCGATTTCACAACGAAGCTGCTACACCTAGCATGGCATCCAACTGAAAACTCTCTCGCATGCGCTGCATCAAATAGTCTTTACATGTATTATGCATGAATATGATCCAACAAGGCTCGTGATTATTTTGCTGGGCAAAGCTTTTCCCGCTTGCTTTTGGAGAGATTTGCTTTGCCTTCTTCCCTAATTAATGATGCGGAAGCTGCACCAATTTACCAGACTCTGGGTGATTCATTGAAATTCTATCATGTCTTCCAACACCGGGGTTCAATGTTGCTGTTGTTGATTTGTCAACGTAGTGCATTGACTTTAATGCTTCCAGGCAGGTCATGCCCACTGATTTAATATTCTTTGTAGGGATAGACACAGTGCTCTCCCTATTTTGGTTTTGTTTAGGTCGAAGAAAAAGTATGATGGTAGCACTCCCAACTACTGAAAACAAACTCGCTTCTAATTAGGCTGCAATGTTGCTGGGTTTGAGACTGATGGGATCTTAACCAAAAATCTGAGGGAAAAGGACTTATGTGGTGCATCAATTCTCATTGATACAGGCAGCTCTGAGGCCTAGTGCTTTAATCTTGTACCATTTTCAACTTTAGATTTAACACTTGTTATATTCCATTACGATTATTGTTATTTAATTTCTAACTATTCTTTCTCCTCCTCCTCCACGGAATTCCCGATTTGTGTTGGTTTTGGGATGAAGTAGAACCCCTCCTTTAAACCAATCTTCTGACCCTCCCTTATTACTATTATTATTATTATTATTATTATTATATACTTTGATAGTTACTTGCGTTAAATTAATACCAAATCCATTTATACAAGTATTCCCTAGATTTTTGTAATGGAAGTGCCAATTGTTCATCATTTCTTGTGGAAATGAAATGACGAAAGGGGCAAATAATTAGCCTTGAAATCTTGCCTGCGTGATTATTAGGTCAATCAATTAATTTAACAAAAAACCATCAATCAAAGCTTTTCATGATCACAAATCAAAGAAATATCTGAGACTAGTTGCCTGTATTTAATCAAATGCATGTAGTTAGTATTTTCCTTCTTGTTGTAATTAACGTAATAAATTAATGATTTATTAAAAAATATATAAATTTTATATAATATATAAATTAATCATTTTTTATAAATCAAAATTTTACATATATATTAAAATTAAATATATACACGTAATTTAATTAGAAGATTTTAAAAAAATATAATTCAACTCATTCCTTTGTCTGAGCAATTTTACACGGCCCGGACAGGCCTATCATTTCTAAAATGAACCCAGTTAATAGCTTCATGGAGCAGAACCAATAATCTGAGAGTCCTCACCGAATCAATACTTCCAAATCTCTCGCCATCTCCAAAGGGGAGGTCATTTCTCTCTCTTTACAGAAACCACCGAGCCATGGCTCTTATCAGCCGAAACACCGCCAATCGCCTCCACACCTCCTCTCCGCACAGCGGGCTCTCTCTCTCCACACCACCCTTCCTTCTCTCTCCTCCACCTCCTCCCCTCCATTACGCTCGTCCTTCTCCTCCCTCCACCTCCGGCCCTCCAGCTGGGCTTTCCAAGACTGCTGAATATGTGATCTCAAAGGTCGATGACCTCATGAACTGGGCCCGTCGTGGGTCCATCTGGCCTATGACCTTCGGCCTCGCTTGCTGTGCTGTCGAAATGATGCACGCCGGTGCCTCTCGCTATGATTTCGATCGCTTCGGTATCATTTTCAGGCCCAGCCCTCGCCAATCCGATTGCATGATTGTCGCTGGCACTCTCACAAACAAAATGGCCCCTGCTCTCCGCAGGTATGTTTTAATCTCATTTCTTAGGGTTTTATTTTATACTAATTTAATACTCCTTTCTTTATCTTTATATTTTAAATTTTGGGGCGATTAAGAATGTGAATTTTGGCAGTCCCAACATTCTTTTTAGCTAATGCTAGGTTTGAACTAAAGATAGGCACAATTGCAAAGTCATAACTAGTAACATATTACTATATGCTGGGTTTATAGTAATATGCTAGATGACAATTTCTGTGAAATTTACGGATTTTTGTTTAGGGAATAGGGTGGCTAAAGTAAATGATCTGAAAGGTGAAAGCTACCCGAGGCTGTTTCTCGTTCAGTGTAACAAAATGATTTTTCCTTGCTCCCTTGTATGAGACATTGTGATTGGATCAACCCTAAAGAAGGTTAAATCAACTTTCAATTTGTCTTTTGTTTCTTCCTGGATTTGGGGAATTGTTGAAGAGATAAGAAGATAAAAAACTATGGTACAACATGTTGCTATCTGTAATCTTTCAAGGCCTTAGCTTGGTTGGCTGAACATGGATTTTAAAGCTGTCAACCTGGAGCTCAACTTAGGTCTAGCTTGAATGGTCCTGGAGAAGTTTGTGTGATCTGGCTTGGTAAGTTAGGAATTAGGTTTTTGGTCAATAACCAATAATCATAACTAGTAACATATTACTATATGTCGATGGTTGTTCAACCTAGGCTAAGCTGGCTTGTTTTGCTTGTTATACAGTCTGATAAGGGTCTGCGGAAGCTGGCTTATTATTTGCATGGATTAGGGCTATAGGCTATGTTATGATGGTGAATTTGGAGTGCGATGTGCATAAAAATGTTTGTTGTTTCAACGGTGATTTGACATTTAGATTTATTTCTCAGAGTCATGCAAATAGATGCAACCTTAAAGTTTTACCTCTGCTGGTGTTCTCATACTCTTTGCCAAGTTTTACAACTTTTAGTAGCATTCCCTAAATTTGTTGCCGTCCTTTATTTTCTTGATGATGTATAGCATCTTCTTCATTTTGAATTTTATTACTCTAGGCTTGAGGGATTCTCTAAATTTTTTGTTTGACGGAAGGGATTCCATGGAATTTGTGTGAATGACTTGGCAAAGAACCAAGTCATCGGCCATCTTCTTCTTCTTCCTTCTGTACTACGGTTGTAGAAATTGCTTGAGGTTTGGTAATTTGACCTTCATGTTGAATTTTTGCAGGGTTTATGACCAAATGCCAGAGCCTAGGTGGGTCATTTCTATGGGAAGTTGTGCGAATGGTGGTGGATACTATCATTACTCATACTCTGTTGTTAGAGGTTGTGATAGAATTGTCCCTGTTGACATCTATGTACCTGGTTGCCCACCCACTGCTGAGGCTCTACTATATGGAGTTCTTCAGTTGCAGAAAAAGATCAACAGGCGCAAGGATTTCCTCCATTGGTGGAACAAGTAAGGATATCACAAGTTGCTCCTGGGCTATTTTGGGTGCAGTGTTAAGATAAAATAAATCAGTTCTCTGGTGAAATGCCATGTAGAGATATATTATTAAAACGGTTTTGAACATAAAGTCCATGAGTTTTACAAATCAGGTTTCTGTTACATGTATGGTGATTGTACTTCCTGTATTACTTGGAATTTCAATTTGCACCGACTTTAATTTTCGTTTTAACTACCTGTGCTGTTGTTCTAAGGATGTTTATTTTGTCGTTTTACATGGGAATGAATAAATTCATTGGTTTTTTTTTTTTTTCTGTGGTATCTCGATTTGATGGTTTAAACTTCAAAGGCAGTTCTGGGGAGTATTTTATTCATATCTGGAACACTCTGTCAACATAATGGTGATCGTCAATGCCCTTATGCCTATGGGATGAATTTCTAGGGGCTGGATTTGGGTTTTCCATTGCCATGGTAAGTTGGAAATGTGGGTTGGGGGACTTGACTCGGACAGTCAAGTTTGTGCATGTTGATTACAGGAGTTTACCAGGTCTGAGACACACAGAATTCACTTGCTATATCAATAACAATAATGTAAAACATTATATAGAAACATGTTGCTCAAAGGTGGTTTTTAGCCCAAAGACACGGCGAATTGGGCTCATTGGTTGGAACAGAATTAAGATAATTCTTTGGACCAAGGAACTTTTCTTGGTAATTAAATCCCAATGTAAATTATTCCGACCAATCAAAATGAAGTTGTTACAACATAGCTTGTGTTATTAATAAATCGTCACGATTTATAGTATCTATCAATCATCATAATTAACCCACGGACCGCAGTGGATTTTTTTAATTAAATTTACTTTAAAATGAGTTATATCTAGACGTGGACCTTGGCCAAAAAAAAATTAAAAAACTACTAAAAATGAAAACTTGACCGTAAGCAGAAGTCTATAAAGCACACCACTCCCAACGTTTAGTAAAAATCAGTATATGCTTTTTACCGTATATAAATTAAAAAGATATACCAAGTACTCGTTTGGTTAGATTTTTTTATTAATTTATTTATTTTTTAAAAATAAAAAATATATTAAATATAAATTTTAAATTTTGTTTAAAAAAATATTTTTTTAAATATAAAATATTTTTTATTTTAAAAATATTTTTATTTTTTAAATATAATTATAATATTATTTTTTTAAAAAATATATTTTATAATAATTTTAATTAAAATTATAACTTATAAAAAATTTATAAAAAATATTTATCAAATAATTTTAATTTAATTCTAAAAATTATTAATTTTTAATAAAAACTTTATAATAACTTTTAAATTAAGAAAAATTTAAACCAAACAAGTTCTAAAGCAGAAAATAAAATAAAAATCCAATTCATGTGCACAAAAAGGGGACAAAAAAAAAAGGAATTTAAACTCACGACATTTATAAATATATAAAATCCAGCAGCGATTTTTTTTCTTAGCTATTCGCCCACACCCTCTCTCTCTCTCTCTATCCCTCTAGGGTTTCTCTCTTGCTGTCTGTCTTTTGGTCTCTCGCACAATGGCAGACGAAGCGCAGTACTCTTCAGGTCCAGACGCCGGCAGCAACAAGCGCAAATACGATGACCAGACACCGCCTTCTTCCGGTGGCAGGAGGCCGACAGGGTTTTCTTCCCCAGATTCGGCTCCTCCTTCTTACAACAGCGTCCCGCCACCGCTTGACGGCATCGAGATGGCCAAGCAGCGAGCTCAGGAGATTGCTGCTCGCCTTACTCTCTCTGCTGCCTCTGCTGGCGCTGAGGCCAAGCGCCCTCGCGTCGAAAACGGCTCTGGAGGTGGTTTTGATAACGACAAGGGATTTAGCTCCGCACCTCCTGGTATTGTCTCTCTTTCTTTCTTCATTTTTCCTTCCTGTGACACGTGTTCTTTGATAGTAAGTGCTTTCAGTGTTTTGAGTAGATTGTTGCATCTAGGGTTTTGTATTTACGGTTTTCGAACTTTTGAATACAATCTTTTGGTTGCTGCTGTTTGCAAGACGCTAAATTGTAGATCTGATTTTTGAAAGTTGACGCAAAGCGTAATGAATTGCTTTAATGAATACAGATATGAAGCCTATGTCGAACTCTGCTCCTTCATCTATACCAGTTTCTTATGGTAGCTACCATGGTACTAGCAAAAAGATTGACATTCCACAAATCAGGGTTGGTGTTATAATAGGGAAAGCCGGTGAAACCATCAAATATCTTCAACTACAATCTGGGGCAAAGATTCAGGTTCAGCGAGATATGGATGCAGACCCAAATTCTGTGACTAGGCCTGTAGAGCTCATGGGTACTGCTGAACAAATTGCCAAGGCAGAGCAGTTGATAAACGATGTTCTTGCTGAGGTAATTCATCCTGCCCTTCTATTTATGTGAAATTGATGCATTGCCTTAATGCGGAATATTAATCTAATTTTATCATTTTGGAGTCTTGCAATATTAGTTATAGTAAGTATGAAATATGATTATACCATTTAATGCTTTGGCCAGGCTGAAGCAGGGGGCTCTGGCATAGTTTCTCGAAGATTGACAGGACAAGCTGGAAGTGAACATTTTGAAATGAAGATTCCAAATAACAAGGTAGACCAGTGTAAAAGCATTAGTCAACTTTGTTCATTGAATTTGGTTCAAGATAATATGTAATGTGAGCATGATTTCAGGTTGGTCTGGTGATTGGTAAAGGCGGTGAAACAATTAAAAATATGCAAGCCAGAACTGGAGCTCGTATTCAGGTTTGAATCTTAAGTGTCATTCTTATTTGGAAGTTCTCTATTGTTGCTTTAGCTTCATTTTCACTGGCAAGTAATGTATTTGTTTGAATTGTAAATCAGCTACTTTAGGACCAGATTCATTTTTTTAATCAGTTTCTTCGATATGGTCTTTTAAATCTTGCAGTAGTTGCATCTACAACTACGGTTTCTGACAACAGTATCTCTTTTAATCTGGTACAGGTGATACCATTGCACTTGCCTCCAGGTGATCCAGCAACAGAAAGGTCATTACACATAGATGGGACAAGTGAACAGATTAAAAATGCAAGAGAATTGGTTGATGAGGTCATAAGCGAGGTATGTTTGGATGTGAACGTTGGGAGGAAAGCTTTTCTTCAGTTTAACCTATTTCTGTCTCTAGTTTTTTACATGAATCGCTTGTGATTGTTTTGTACCTTTATTTTGTATGCCTACTCCTATAGGACCTGTTTAGTTCTATTCTGAATGTTGATTTTGGGTAATATTCTGGAGCATCACTCTAGGCTGTACAACATTAGTAAAGATTGGACTCTTCAAAATTTTAGTTTTATTTGGACTTCTCGTTAACATTGCTTAAGAAATTTCCTTGTTCAGATTTTCTAGAGGTATTCTTATATTCTCAATTGCAGGTCAAAAACAGTTTTGTTCATTTGGGTAAAGTAGGGACTAAATTGCTACTTTATTTTGTGTTTATTTCTTCCTACATAGATATTGTGTCATTATGATCTGTCAATTGTTGTCTCTGGTCAATGTTCTGGAAGTCTCTCCTTTTATCTAACAAATTCTTACATTTTCTGATACTTCCATATACCTGTTGAGGAAGTAGATGATTTTCCCACTCAGGTTATAATTTTTCTGCTAAGTATTGTGCTGAATAATTTTTCCTAGACTTGCTTTTGCATCCTCATTTCTTGATGTAGTTATTCAGTCACTTTGAGATATAGATTGGATTTTATATTATCATCGATTTCTTTTCTTCCCTTTGTTGCACTTGTAAAATCTTGAGAGTTGCAGACATCTTTTGCTGGTGATCCTTGTCGCTATGACAGCTGTTTTGTATGTGTCAAAATGACCAGTGGAAGATGAGCAGGTCCTCTACTTTGTAAGAGATTCACGGCTGTTTTGTATCAAAATTTTCTGGTTCTAGTGTCATTAGGAGCTGGATAATGTGGTAATTTGCACTGCTTGGTATCCTCTCGAAATCTTATGGGTGAAATTAATGCTTTTACATATTAAGTTCAAACTGTCAAGGTCTCTATCTGCAGTCGGTTTCTTATATATTAATTAAGGTAAATTGTGTTGAGAATTGGACAGAGGTCAAACTTGATAGTTTCAATTGCCAAAGTTTTGTGAAGAGTGATGGTTATTGCCCTCTAGTTTTGTTTAAGTTTTGTGCTTGATATTTTGATGCTTAGTTTGCAAGGCAGGTCTTACCCACTCATTTTATGTTAGGATATTGTGGTAAAAAGTATAAACAAGGACTGACTTCATTCTGGTGATAGAAGTCGAATTTCGTCATTCTTTGGTTTTATGGCTAAGTGACTTGTTGGGATTAGGCATGTTTAGCCACCGAATGTGCTTATTAATTGTAAATGATGAGACTGATATTGTCATTGGGAACTATTGTAGGATTAGTCTGTTGGACAATTGGTGACACCAACATTGATTTCTTTCTGTTGGTGTTTCCTCTGCATTGCCCTGGTATGGTTTCAGATCCTATTTCTGATATTTAGTGATCTTATACTGGAGAGAGGCTGAAAGTTATTGTTGGATATATAAGATTGCTAAATACTAGATTCTTTTATCATTCTGGCACCGCAGGATTTGCTCATTTTAACATGTATTACAAGAATGTTCCTATTTCTATTAATCTTCTCTTTTGGTTAAACAAGGATGGTATAGCTTTTGGTTCTTAATTTGGTTTATTATTTGAATGTTTAAACCGTTCAGTCCAATTTTTCTTCTTTACATTGCCCCTGATTTTTTCTGTCACCATCATTTAGTAGTGTTGGCTGGGTGTTGACAAATTTACATAATTCTAAATTTGTGGATATTTCATACTGAGATGTCTTTTTTTCCAGCCTTGTAAATTAAATTTTTTTTAGTTGCGTAAATATTGTTTTTGACTGTGTTAGTAATTGAGCTTTCCTGTATTTCTAAATGTCATCTTTAAGCTTGTGTTTTTATCAGTAACATGTTGTGGGATTTTTATTTTTTAAACATTAACTTAATGAGTTTTATTCACTATGGATTTCACTTTGTTCATTGGTCAAGTTGGATGTTCTTTTTCGGAAAGCCTCAAGTATGAGGATACATATTTGATGTAGTTTTGTTCTGTTTTGCATATCTTGTTTACTCTTGTGTTGAAGTTGTTTTATTGAAAGTTGTAATTTAGATTGAATTTATTCCAGAAAACGTTTGTCTACAATTAGGTTAGCTCTGTTCTATAGTATTTCTTATCAGATGTTTGCCCTATGTGGTTAGGGTTCATATGTTAAGCAAAATCCTTTATTTTGGTGATACAAGTCAATTATTTTTTCTAAATGCAGATAATCAATCTTATATAAGTGTTAGATCTACAATTCATTTTTTCCTTTCTTTTGTTTAGAGAAATTTAGGTCTGTTCTAAGAGATATCATTTGCTTAATGCATGTTGATTGATCTTCTAGGGTATTGTCATTCCTTATTTGATGCTTCTCTTGTGTTAAATGCATCAATTGGATTGTTGGATAGATGATATATAGTATGCTTTTAACTATGAGTTTCTTGCCTGTTGGCAATGGGGTTCATAGTTCCTTGTGCTTTGATGTAAAAGCTTCTATTAGTATTTGTGGGGTTCTATTTTTTTTTTCTTTTTGCACCCATTCACTTCAAATAGGGAGAGGATGGGCTTCTGCTGGAGTAAACTCAATAATCCCTCCGACCATACGGTATGTAGGCATTTATACCCTTCGTACTACAGTACAAACTCCGTTAATGCCACTGTGGACATTCTGATTTTGATAATTGCTATTCAGTTTTTGTATATGCCTATTTGTGTAGATGCATATTCTGTTTTGCTGTATGTGTTTATGTGCCAGCGTCATTGGAAAGTCCACTTTGGTTATTTGAGGGAACAATTTTGTGCAGAATCGTCTGAGAAATCCAGCAATGGCTGGAGGCTATCCACAGCAAGGTTATCAAGCACGACCGCCTACAAGCTGGGGCCAAGGGCCTCCTCCAATGCAGCAACCTGGTTATGGTTATATGCAGCCTGGGCCGTATCCTGGCCCATCACCTCAGTATAACATGTCTCAGCCTCCTTATGGGGGCTACCCTTCGCAACCAACGTCTGGTGGATATGCCTCTGGTTGGGACCAGTCAGCTGTACCACCAAACCAGCAAAGCTCTGCTGCAGGTGGTTATGATTACTATAATCAACAGCCTTCTTCACAGCAGCAGCAAACCCCTGGTGGTTCAGCAGCTCCAGCTGATAACAGTGGTTACAATTACAGTCAACCACCAGCTTCTAGCTATATGCAACCAGGACAAGGTTATCCTCAGGATGGCTATGGTGGATACCCTGCACCTCCGCAATCAGGTTATGGACAACCATCATCTTATGATCAACAACAAGGTTATGGTTCTGCACATAGCTATGGTAATGCAACGAACCCCTCTCAAGAGGGTCACACACCCTCCTATGGTGGTCAAGGGGATTCAGGTCAAGTGGCTACATCTACCCAACCATCTGCGATGGGCCAGCAAGGGTACAATACTAGTCAGCAGCCTAGCCAAAATCCTGGAAGTTATCCACCTCAAGGAAGTACTCAACCTGGTTATGGAGTGCCTCCATCTTCCCAGGCTGGCTATGGGAGTCAACCACCAGCTCAGTCTGGCTATGGGCCTGGATATGGACCACCACAAGCGCAGAAACCTTTGGCCAATCCCCCTGTCTATGGGCAGACGCAGCAGTCGCCGAGCACCCCAGGAAGCTATGGCCAGCCAGGATATCATTCACAACCACCACCATCTGGCTATGGTCAACCAGAATCAGGTTCACAACGTGCTCAATCATCTAGTTATGGTGCTGCACCCGCGCAGCCAGGATATGGAGCACCACCTTATGGAGCACCACCAGCCAGCCAGCCTGGTTATGGAGCACCAGCATATAACACCTCTTATGGTGGTAGTTACTCACAGCCTCCAGCATATCCTGCTGACAGCAATGCAAGTGGGAGCACTCGTGGGACGTATGATGCAGCACCAGCAGCTTCTCAAACCGTTCAACAAAGTGGAGTTGCCAAGGCATCACCCCAAAGTTGATTTGTGGTGAGTTTGTTTAAGACATTTATGTTTTGGTACTTTTGATGCAGATGGTTTATTGTATTTCAATTAGGTCAAGTTAGTTTTGGCAGTATTCTAAGACAGGGCTAGTGTTTTACTTCAATATTTTGAGGCAGTGGTTTTGGATGGTTTATTTTTCCCGCTTTATGCTATTGTCGAAGTTTTATACTTGCCTATTCCAAATACTGATTTTCCAATGTTATTATCTTCTCGTTTTGTTCAAGTTATATATATATATATATATATTCTTGAAGAATGTCAAAATCACTGAATATTGAGGGGCATTGGTACGGTTGTCTAAATCCAGGAAAGTTGTCATATTATAGAAGGCGGAAGCTACATTTATCTCCTAGTTGACCTTGTTAAAGGTTGCAAGTGCTACTGTATTCGATTTCCTTTTTTCAAGGCTGGATCATAAGCCAATTCCTGTTGCTGCTGGGGAACGAAGGATTTTCAGCACTTTGGCTGTGAGCTGTAAATGTAGGTTTAAGTAAATTCAGTCCAAAGGTAGTTGCATTCCTGTCGGCAAATGGGTTCAGCCTGACCTAACCAGAACAATGGTTGTGATAGTTGATACGTGGGTATGATACTCGTGCGATAGGGTAATAATCACCATGCTGGAAATGTCTAGCAAAAAAAAAAAAAGAAAAAAACACAGAAAAAGAGGAAAGGCTGAGCAACTTATGTTGTAGGAGTTAATGCTCATGATAATAATCCTTGACCATCTTCAATTGAGAGCATCCGGATACTGGCTCTCCTGTGTCAACTCATGAAGACGTCCAATGCCAAAATGGTTAGATCATGCTCTTGGGTCTTCTAAACCGGATTATATACATATATACATATTTATATATATGCTAATGGTACTCTTTAATTCAAAATTGAAACAAATTAACTATAAGTAAAAGTGATAATATTGTAAATTCCCAAAAAACTGCGGCCAAGGAAAAAATAGAGCAGATTCTAAATACGTTGTTACGTATGTTATTTCCTTCATAGTTGAAATTTAAAGTGGTCAAATAATAATAATAATAATGTGTCTCGTATATTTGAATCTTTATGGACACATGGCAAGATTCTGAGCATTCACTGCAGGATACTGAAGAGGACTCACCGCAGCGGAACAAAAGCAAAAATTACCAGGAACTATAAATATTATACGAGGAAATAAAACCCTACTTCTCCCTCTGCTCTGTACCGCTCCTGCTCTTTCTCATATCGCCAAAAACAGATATAGGTAGGTTCGTTCCGTTCCCTCATATTGTAATGCTGCATTTTTCTCTTCATCTTTCCTTATTTTTCTTATCCAACACTGCATCTTTAGCTCTCCAAACTTACTGTTTATGGTCAAATGTTGTTGACTCTTACTAATACTTTGAAACTTTTAGAAATCTGGTTTTTGGCTTATCGATTCGGTTTATTCTTAGATTCTGCAATGGAGCTCTTATTGTTTTCCACAACATGTTTATAATTTTTCTTTTCATCCCCCTCTCTCTTTTTTCCCGTGAATTTGGACTTCAGTGGGATTAATTAATTTAATGCTGCTTAAGTAATTACGTTTCTTTTTCTGTTTGATCCTTACTTGTCGATTCTCTTGTGTTTTTAAAATTGATCTCTAGATCAATAGCGTGGGAATTAAGTTATAGTATTATGAATTCAAGAGCTCGTAATTCTGGAATTACTTGATGGAAAATGGACAAATTGCTTAAACAGTGTGCCAGGTTGGAACATTTTTGGCTGATATCTGATTAAATTTCTGTTTATCTAACGTATTACGATTCTATCATGGTGGTTTAGTTTGATTGTGAAGCCGATGGCGTTGGCACCGAAGTTAGCTCAGTTGCAGTCCAAGGCAACTCAGGCATCCCAATTTGTAGTAAAGCATGGTTCTGCTTACTACAAGCAGCTACTAGAGCAGAATAAGCACTACATTCAAGAGCCACCTACTGTTGAGAAATGTAACCTTTTGTCAAAGCAATTGTTTTACACTCGTCTAGCCAGGTTACTCCTTTTACCCCATTCGTTCTTCTGCTTTCCTTTCAGCATTTTAGGGTAATCTCAAAGGTTTCAGACTCAAATGAATCTATGTTGTGACTTGGGGTGATTTTCTTTTCCTAATCTTTTGTGTTATTTGTATTGACATGGATATGATGGCTGAAAAGTAAAAGGTCTGAGCCGGGAGCTTATGCTGGTAGTGATGGGCGTCAAGTTAAAGGGAAAGGGAGAGGGCCCCTGTCCTTGTTTCTAGTCATTGCATTGCGACTCTCGCAACCTCTCCTACAACAATCATGTTATGCTCAAGCATGGCAGCGGGTTGAAATAAAAGGCGTGGGCTGCATTTTAGTATTAAATGCCAGCCTAGACTTCTCCCTACATCATATATTCCTTTTTCCCTCTTCCTTGAACATCTGCCCGCTGCCATCATGCTCCCTGCGTTGATCAAACCTTCATGCTGATCCATTGAATTTGTTACTTCTGTTATCATCAGTTCTCCCTTCTAGTCTTTTACTCATTTGCTATTGCTGACATTAGAAACATTTACAAGTAAGAAGGCCTAATGTTGTTTGATTGTGATTTTGTTTTCTTTTTCTAGAAATGCATTACCTCTTTGGCTATTATCTACATCAGTCAAACTTTTCTACCCTCCCACTGAGTTAATCTTCTGAATTTGGTGCAGTATTCCCAGCCGCTATGAGACATTCTGGAAGGAGCTGGATTATGCCAAGCATATGTGGAAGAACAGGAAGGAATTGAAGATTGAGGATGCTGGCATTGCTGCTCTATTTGGGTTAGAGTGTTTTGCTTGGTTCTGCGCTGGAGAGATTGTTGGTCGAGGATTCACCTTCACTGGTTACTATGTTTAAGTGATTCAACAAGAACAGCTTCTGAATTTGAACTGATCAAAGCTTTCACCATATATATATTTTTTCCAGATCTTTTTGTCATCATAACATACAATTTGCTGTTCTGTAAGAAAAATTAAACTCGATTAGCAGCAACCCATTCGTATCAACATTTCTCTCATTCCATTTTCCTCCTTGCACAAAAAGGTATTCCTATTAAGGAAGAGGTATTCCTACTAAGGAAGAGGTTGCTGAGAGCAACAAAGCATTTTGGCTGTTAATTTCCCTACTAATTTCCAGTATAAAAGATGTTCCAGACTTGAGTAATCGTCCTGAATCACACTCTTTATAGGCTTAATCTATTTGGGCTTTTTTAAATAGAAATAGTGGCGGATATATCTCTCTCTCGAGGATAGTGGTAGATATATCTAAAAATGTGGCTGTAAACAGCCTTATCTACAGCTCTTTGACAATAAACATCAAGTCCCCTGCCTTATGCTAAGTCTGCTAGCGCGAACGAAGGGCTTGGAGCGTGCTAAGTTTTACATCTTGCTGGCTTTGATCAAAGACTTATTTGGTAACTCTTCGGAATTCTTTCGTTTATTTCATGCAATGATTATGATAATGTGTTTAAAACCCAACTGTTGCTAACAGTTGGATAGTTTCTCTTTTGAGATTAATGATTTTTTTTTTTGATTCAACTAAATATAAGTAGGAATCCTGCTATACAAGGAAACAGCCTGTAGAAAGCATTGGGGAATTTACATGAAAAAAGAACAGGAATTCTCGGGAATTGAACATCTTTCAAAGGCATTCTCACCGAGCCCCATAGTGAACAAAAGCAGAACAACCGACAGCCACGAAGTATGCATTTTAAGTTTATCATTTCACTGGCAGCAAATATCCCTGGTTACACTTCAGCAAAACCACCAAGAAAAAGAAAATCTTGGCTCCAAAAGGTTAAACTTCTCAAAAATCCCATCTTTACTTTGTATATGCCGGAATAGGAATTGGGGCACATCCCCGAACAAGTCTCTGAAATTCAGGTCTAAATGGAGGAAAACTCCTTTAATATATTTAACTCTATATTCTCTATTAGCTTTCTTTAATCATCATTAAAAGAGGTGGTTTCTAAATGCAAGTAAAACCTTTGGTGTCAATAGCAAAATGAATGCTAAGATTGAACCGAAGAACAGTTTGACAAGGTAGTTCAAGGGGTCATATTCAGCTTCTTCAGCAGTGTCCCTTGAGGTTGACATGGCTTGTGCTGATGGTAGAGCTTCAACTACAGCATCTGCTAGATCTGTGATGAATGAAGAGGTGCAACCGAGAGCAGGCACACGACCCCAATTCTCGATACCAGATTCAAGAGCTAAATCCTTATATTCCATGTCAATCTCTTCAAGAGTCTCTATGTGCTCACTTACAAAGCTACAATTTTGGATGGAAGTAGAATTAGTTTTCAGTTCATAATCTAGCATTTCAAAGCACACATCAAGAACAGCTACTTAAAACTAAGAGTCAGGTACCTTATGGGAACAGCTAGAAGACTCTTCACACCTTTCTGGCCAAGCTCAACAAGAACTTCATCAGTGTAGGGCTTCAGCCATTGCACAGGCCCAACTCGACTCTGGAGGAATAGCATGAAGAAGAAGTTGAGCATAACGGTTTTTTATTTTTCAAGTGAAAGCGGAAACTTGAGTTCTAAAACAAACCTGGTAAGCAAGTTTATGATCATTTCCAATTCCTCTAGCTTTCAACTCTTGCATAATTAAGTAGATGCACTCCTCCATTTGATCTTTGTACGGATCTCCAGCATCCTCAACATAACTGACGGGCACCCCATGGGCACTAAAGAATATCATGACCTGAAGTTCAGAAGAATATTAGAAATAGTTGTAATGAAGTCAATCTCAAAAGACCACAAGTTAGATAAATTAACTTCTGACTTTATACATAAAAATGTACACACAAGTAGTATATGCAGTAACCAAACAAACCTCTTCAGGCTTTGGAAATCTCCCCAACTCTTTCTCAATCAAGTCAGCCATAGACCTAATATAACCTTGTCGTTGATACCATGAAAGAATGACAGAAACAGGTAGTCTTGATAGATATGCATCTTCCCTGAAATATAACTCACATTCAGAGCCATTTCCTAAAGGGTGTTACAGATGATTTCAAGCAGATAAGGTGTAACACATATTATCAAACACCCACCTGAATATACTCTGGAGAACTCGGATGCTTGATCCAGTTGTGGAGATGGAGAACTGAGGATATAGTGGCAGCACAACAAGTTTTGTTATCCTGTCCCGCTTGATCTGCAGCATAATGTAAATGCTTAGCAATGCTTAGCAACGCTTAGCAACATAGACTCAACATATTTTGAAGATAGATAATTCAATGTTAAACAGATGATTCCTTATTAAAATATGAGATATAATTTCAAGTCATATAAAAGGAGAACTTGCACAAAGGCATGGAATTCGTTCTTTTTCTTCTAACTCACTATATTTATCCCTTCTGTAAGGATTTGATGAACTGAACAATAAACCCTTAATATCACCTAAACGAAAATAGCAACTCCTGGATATAGTATCACACAAGTTCATAACTTCACCAACGGTATCTGAAGAAACCTAAAACCCACGCTAATTTGTTTGACTATCAGAAGACCCACCTGCTCAATTGCTTCCTCAGTGAATGGGTACCAATATCGCATTCCAACATATACATTGGCACATACATTCTTTGCCTCCAAAGCCATTCTAAGAGCATGTGCCTGCAGCAAATTCTTAAAGCTATAAATACAATTATAACATTCAAACCACAAAAGTTTTACCATCAACAAGAGGACAACTTTTAAAAGCGTGGAACATGTTTAACATGGTTCAATTTGTAAAAAAATATCCACACAAATTCACTTTAACACAGCACTAGCACAAAGTTATATCCAAATTTCTACAATTAAGGAATTTACCTGTTCATCGGTTATTTTACGCAAAGGTGAGCCACCACCAATGGCAGCATACCCTTCTTTACTTTTGGGAGCCCGAAGAACAGAAATTAACTTTGCCAAAGGTCGTTGAAGAAACTTAAACAGCCTAGGCAGCCGTATTATATCCTACAACAAAAACAATATCACCAGCAGCACACCACTAAACCTTAAAACCCAAAAATGGTTATATAAAGTACATTAAAAAATTGCGCAAGAAAACTAACATACAGGATCAGCAAACAGGTTATACAGAAACGGTTGAACATCGTTAAGAGTCTCGGGCCCTCCGAGATTCAAAAGCAGGACCCCGAGCTTCTCCTCTGCGACATGTGCATGAGATTCTACAACATTTTCACCGAAAGTGCAAACCCCCACCGCGCAATTCGTTTGCAAGTTCACATTCCTCTTCTGATTTGAGCCACAGCTGAGATTGGCTCCTTTGAGAGCGCTGTAATTTGTATTCGAGTCAGAACTTGAGATGACGAGGGCTTTAGACGAAGGTTTATCAACATCATTTGATCCCTCAGAGGAATGGCGTGAGACAGAGGCAACACATCTGCCCCGAGGAATCGACCTGAAATTCAAGGAAAATAAAAGAAATTGACAAAGACGTAAATTTGGGAATCATTTTGGTCCAAAAATTTCATCTTTTTTTCACCAAACAAATCTTTGTACCTTCTAGACAAAAATTGGGATCTAAAATTAACTCATAAACATAAACATTTGATAAAAATCCCAAATTACTGGGATAAAAGTCTTACCTTGAAAATCTATAATCAGAATTCCTAAGGTTGGAACCAGAAAGTTTGGACAGGGAAAGAACGCCAGATAAAGATGCTGCCTCCATGGTTTTGATCTAAACAACCTTCTTTCAATTGAAAGTATAATAGAAACTAAGAAGCCGGAGAATAGAAAAGTGGGAAAATAAAATTAAAAAATGGAATCTGGGTTTTTGGTGGCTTTGGGAGAGATTTTTCCACGAGTTGGTTGAGAAGAAAATGGCGAAAATAGTTGGAAATTGGAAAGTCAAATAAAAACTGCGTAAACGTATCAGTAAAGCTATAGTATTTTCATTCAAAGGGAGACGTTGATGGCTGCCTAAACCTTATGTAGAAGCATCCACGAAGGCAGGAATTAACACGGTGCTTCTCTTTTATACTTTTTTTTGTTTCCTTTTTTCCTTCGTCGTCCTTTATTTTCTTGTCAATTCTTTCTCGGCAACCAAACTTGAGTATCCCAATTGTCAACGAAAGATTAACTCGTTGCAAGCTAACACGACACCGTCTTGTACTACTTAAAGCCTTCCACACCTCCAAAGTGACCGACTGAGTATACCAACTAAGTAACACATTAGTCAACAATTTAAATTATAACTTTGAAACTTTCACCCAAAAAAAAAAATATTTGGCTTTATACTGAATTAATTATTATTATTATGATTGTGAATTTGTAACATCATATATTAAATTTTCAATTCTTTGTCACTTAAATAGTAACTGACCTAAAAAAGATAGAATTGATGATATTAAAATAAATAATGCTAATTTTTGTAACTAAGAGTAAATTTTTAATCATAATTTTTTTCCTCATATTTAGATTTTTAATCTAACTACTATTTATTTTAAATTATAAGTTTTTAATTAAATATATATGTAAAAGATCTTGACTAAGTCAAATAAAAAGTCATGCTTAATAAATATATACAAAAAGTGCATTTATGATTTAGATGATGCCTAGTGCAGAAATCGTTGTTCTTTCTTTCTCATTTAATCAAAGACCTTTGCCTTATCCTAAATATTAAGGTATAATATAGTATTAATAAATAACTTTTACTTACTCACGCGCATGATAAGCTGATGAAATATAGTATTAAGTAAAAAATTAATGATATTACAAAATAAAAAAGAATCGAGTAAATAAAGTTAAATCATTGTCTATTTAAGTAATTTTACAATCACAAGTGTTTTTAGGGTTTTGGAGATACCAGTCTATAAAAGCGTATGCTTTAAGCTCTAGAGCAACATCCAGCCTCCTCATCTCAACACTCAAGTACCGGTGTTTCCCTCACTTTGCTTCCCATCCCTTTTTGTCTTACATAACTTAGATTCTAAACCAGAATGTTCACAGCTGATGCTCTTTTCATCGGGAATCCTTCATTTTTTACCATCAATCTTGTAATATCCAAAGCAGCTGCAATCTGCACGATTGGATCTTATGCAGATACTCTGGCAGCAAGGTAAATAATTCATGTCTTTTATCTTTTTTGGGTACTATTATATTTCGTATCTGGTCCCTTGGGTAGCTAATAGTGAACGAAATTACCATTTGACAGATGAAATGTAGCATCAAAGAATAAAGATTTTCTTGCTACCTTGGTGGGTGCTGCTGCCACGAAGAAGAAATTATCGGTCAACTGAGTGTACGATTCTGTCAGGTACTGGAGATTTTCTTCTTTCTTGATTCCTGAAGTTGATCTACTATTAAATTGGATAGTTGTCTTGTTTGCAAAATGGGGATTCTCCGATCAAATGTGATAGTAGGATCCTGGCTCCACAAATAGAGTCAACAGCAGGTGCCGATCCATGGCGACCTGACTGCCGCTTGGAGCCAAGATTTAGTTAAACGGGAGAAGACCCATGAAACTCACCGTTGTTTCATGACACAATAACCCGTTTACATTTCCTATTGTCTGATTGCTTTCTAGTTGATGGTCTTGTTCAGCTATTTTAAATGTGTTTTTATAAAAGAAATGTGAGTTGAATTGAAGTACATTTTAGGAGCTCAATAGTTCACGGGCACTCAGTCAGACACGGGTGTTTGTTGTTTACAATATCAACCCACCTTTTGCATGGTGCCCAAAGCGAGCTACTTACACGATTGGAGGGAGCCTTTGCCTCTCCGTGGTTTCCTTCAAATTTAAAGCAGCTAAATTTATGATCATTTTGGTGTTGTCGTACACCTGATCCGAATGCTTTTATTTTCCTCTAATTCCATTTAACATTGTTCGGCTAAATTGTGGACCTTCTCTTCTTTCTTTTCTCTAAAATATGATACCTTCTTGTTGAGGTTGAAAGTTAGGATCTCTAGCAAGCACACGAAGATCTTTACTACACGCCTAAGCCCTGCCTTTTGATTTTATCTGCTTTTGTTTTTTTTATCATGTTTAAGCACAGTAACCTTTTCAACAAAAGCAAGAGTTTGGCTATGGTGGTAAGAACGTCAAGAGTATCATGTTTTGAGAAAAAAAAGAGGAAGAGAAGAAGAAAGTGATGTGGTAGCTTCCATAACATCCATCATGTGACACCTTGATATGATGATGTGGCAATGCCACGATAGCAATTTAAGCTCATCTCAAATACTATGTTAGCATTTGATGTCACATCAACACTGTAATGGTTAACTTGAATGAAAATTATTGAAGGATTAAATTAAAGTAATTTTTAAAATTAAGAGATTAAATTGTCACTAATTTTAGGAAAAAGGCTAAATTAAAAAAAATCTAACCATATGGGGTAAATGGAACCCTAAACTTGTTTCTTTATAAAAATTAAATTTAAATTTTCCTTTTATAAAAAATTTCAATATTTTATCTTGGATATATGTATAGTAGGATAGCATATATTTACACAATTTTGCAAAATGCTCAAAATTAGGATATCTTTTATATAGTTATAAAAGGCAATAGATACTCTTGTTGTTGGTCTCTTTAAGTTTTTTTTGTCAATTATAAATTTAATTCATCGATTAGTTATTATGAAATTAAGGCAATGATGACAAATTTATGTTTCTCGATTCTGATTTGGATTGTTTCTTAAATTCATTTAATTTAAGGATCAAACAGCTTTTTGATGACAGTGTTTGTGTATGTTTGATTCTCATTATTTTTTTTTATTTTTTTTAAAATGAAAAAGAGATATGGAGGTAGCAATGATTATAAAAATAATTCCTCGTTCTGATTTGCTCAATTTGGGCATGATAGACTTTTTATTACACCCATAGAATCTGAGCTACTCCATTGTTTTAATTTTTTATGTTTTTGTTTTGTTAATATTTTAAGTTTGAATTTCTTAGATTAACGATTGTATTTATATTTGATAGAGTTAAATATAATTGTTAATATTTGTACTATTTTATTTAATAAAAATACTTGGGAGGTTTTTATACTTATGGATTTTGTTTAATTTAGTTTGTTTACTCTAATTTAAAGCAATTTAGTTTTTGATTTTTAGAATTGTTAATGGCATTTTGTTAATTTAGTCTTCTAATTTAGTTCATTTGTTAATGGCATTCAATTTAGTTGTTTAATAGAATGATGTCAGCATTGACGGACATTTTCGTTGATGTAGAAATGTGAGTTAGTTGACATGTTGACGTGATATTGTCACGTTACCTTAACATATGGACGTGATATTGCTACATTACTTTTTGAGTTTCAGTGTTGACGTAGCATTGTAATGTCGACATGTAAGGTGACGTGGTAGTATCACGTCAGCAATAGATAACATGCCAAGAGATTGTCACGTGGTATGTGAGGATGTCGTCAAATCACTTTCTTCTTTAAAAGATTATGTGTTTTTATAGGTTAGCATATATTTACACAATTTTGCAAAATGCTCAAAAGTAGGATATCTTTTATTTAGTTATAAAAGGTAATAGATACTTTGGTTGTTGGTCTCTTTAAGTGTTTTTTGTCAATTATAAATTTAATTCATCGATTAGTTATTATGAAATTAAGGCAATGATGACAAATTTATGTTTCTCGATTCTGATTAGGATTGTTTCTTAAATTCATTTAATTTAAGGATCAAACAACTTTTTGATGACAGTGTTTGTGCGTGTCTGAGCCTCATTATTTATTATTTTTATTTTTTAAAAAATAAAAAAGAGATATGGAGTTAGCAATGATTATAAAAATAATTCCTCGTTCTGATTTGCTCAATTTGGGCATAATAGACTTTTTATACACCCATAGAATCTGAGCTACTCCATTATTTAATTTTTTTATGTTTTGTTTTGTTAATATTTTAAGTTTGAATTTCTTAGATTAATGATTGTATTTATATTTGATAGAGTTAAATATAATTGTTAATATTTATATTATTTTATTTGATAAAAATACTTGAGAGGTTTTTATACTTATGGATTTTGTTTAATTTAGTCTGTTTATTCTAATTTAAAGCAATTTAGTTTTTGATTTTTAGAATTGTTTATGGCATTTTGTTAATTTAGTCTTCTAATTTAGTTCATTTGTTAATGGCATTCAATTTAGTTGTTTAATAGAATGATGTTAGCATTGATCTGATGTTAGCGGACATTTTTGTTGATGTAGAAGTGTGAGTTAGTTGACATGTTGACGTGATATTGTCATGTTACCTTAACATATGGATGTGATATTGTTACATCACTTTTTGAGTTTCAGTGTTGACGTAGCATTGTAATGTCGACATGTCAAGATGACGTGGTAGTATCACGCCAGCAATAGGCAACATGCCAAGAGATTGTTACCACGATGTTGTTAAATCACTTTCTTCTTTAAAAGATGATGTGTTTTTATTAAGGTTTGAACACAAGACCTCTAGTAAGAACATTAAGTTTTTTATTATTATACTTAAGCCCTTATCTTTCATAATTTTTTACTTTTTATTTTCTCTTTTTCGTTTTTATTTTTTAAAATTATCATTTTTTAATTTTTTTCATACTTTTAAAATTTCTAGTTATAAAAGTATCTTTTTCTTATTTTTTTCATTTCTTTTACTCTTTACCTCATCTTTTTTCTCTTTTTCCTATAGTTAGGGTTTTTGAGAATGTAAGGAGATTACAAAATGACATAGTTAGGTTGTAGGCATGATGGTAAGGAGTTTAGTATTCTTGCTCAAAGTGTTAGGCATGATGGTAACATCATAATATATCATGTGGCGGTCTCTTAGCATGCCACGTGACAACTACTTAACATGCCACGTGTTAGCCTTTTAACATTGCACGCCACTTTAATATGTCACTCAATCTTAATGCTAACGTGGCATTGTCATATCAATAGTTCAAGCTTGAATGTTGACGTGTCAATGTGTTGACAAGGTCACATAAGCAATTCAAATTCATAAGGTGATGTGTTAGAACCATATCAACATGTTAGTTGCCTTACGTCAACTTGTAAGCAAAAATGTGCCACATCGGTGTCAAGTCATCTTATTTAACATGAGATGGCATCATTAGATGTTGTTAAGAAGAGAGAGTCAATAAGAATAATTTTCAAAATAAAGGGATTAAATTGCTTCAAATTGAAGCAAAGGGATTAAATGGAATTATAGTTACTTCTTGAGTATTTTGACCATTGTATTTTGTATTTATGAATATTTTATAAATCTAAATTAGAATTTAAATTTAAGTTTATCAAAACTTGATTGTGATTTTTGAATTTAGTAAAATTGTTTTATAAAAATTTTAAATAAATTTAAATAAAAAGTAAAATGAGTAAGAATTGAATAATTTTATAAAAATAGATATTTATAAATAATCAATACACTTGAGAAGTATATGTATTAGGGTATTTTTTTTAATTTAGTCTCTTTATTCAAAATTGTAACATTTTAGTCTTAATATTCACTTAATATTATGGTGTTGATGTAAGTGTTTATGTGGTGTTTGACATGGAATATGAAGTAGATTTTCATATTTTGAGTTCAAGTGTTGACGTGGTGACATCACCTTGAATGATGATGTTGGAGTGCTATATATCACACTTTGAGTTTAAGTTATTGATGTGGCATTATAATGTCATCATTTGAGTTTGAGTTGACATGTGGCACATCAAAAGGGTAACATGTGGCACTTTTATTCATCGAAAAACTATATGTTATTGTTGAGGTTCGAATTAAAAACTTCTAATAAATATGTGAAGGTCTTTATCACCACACTTAAACTTTTATTCATAATTATATCTTGTGATTTTTTTATCTTTCTTTTCCACAACTACATCATTTTTAACCTTTTTTTTTAGTCTTTTTACACTCTCACGAACCCTAACTATAAAAACTCTTTAAAGCCTTCTTCACAACAGAAAACTCCAAAGTGACATAGTTTTGAGAAAAGAAAAAAAAATTAAAAAAAAGAAAAGAAACATAACCAAGATATAATTAACATTGAGGGTTTAGGTCTTGGTTCAAACTTAAGCAAAAGTACATAATGTTTTGAATTGTGATGTGCCATGTGGTAGTTTGAACTTAAAGGGTGTTATATTAGCAACTTTTTTACGATGATGTGGCATTGTCATGTCAATAATAGAAACTCACTATATATGTCACATTAGAATTTGATGTCACTTCAGCATTAATGTTAACGGTTAATTTTGACAAAAAATGTTATAGAGATTAAAGTTGAGAGATTAAATTAAAGAAAATACCTTAGTATGTGGATTTTTCAAGTATTTTGATCATTTCTAAATTGTGAAAATTGTAACTTTATCAATTTATTTTGTCGTTAAATGTCAATGTTGTTTTTGGAGTTGAAATGTTTAATTCAACCAAGTTAGAAACTAAATCAAATTAGAATATAAATTTCAAATTTTTATAAAATTATAAATAGAAAAAAAGTTTATTTAGTCTTTTTATATTATTTTATTTCAACATAATGTAAGTTATTATCTAAATCTAGTTTTAATATGATTTATTTGTGAGTATTAAAATTTTTTTAATAAATAGTGAATTTAAATTTAATTTTTACAAAAAAATAAGTTAACATAATTATTATAATATCAAATAAGTGAGAAAATATAATTTTTTTTTTTTAACATCGTAAATTTTTTATAATTAAATATTTATTTTATTAATAAGTATATGTATCATTTATTTAAAGATTTGTGTTTTTAAATTTTTTAAATTAATTTTTAACATTCTAATTTTACTCAATATAATCTTTGTATTAGACATTTTGTTCAATTCTTTATGATGTACAATTTTTTTTTTGGAAAACTTATCTCATGTCATGTCAGCATGACAACTTGTAAGTGTCATATTAACATTATCATGTTAGTATCACATGGTATTATCACGTCAATATTTTGGTATGACATGGTATTATCATGTTATTAAATCTGTCACGTCAATACTAACATTATTTTAACGATGCAAAATTCCATGTCGTTAGGAGAGGTTAAATTGTTTTAATTTTTAAAATTGAGGAATTAAGTTATTTTGATTTTGATATAAAATCTAAATTGACAAAAATGTTAGGAATTATACTATTTTCTGCTACGGTTTCTGTCAGCACTTTTCTCATATCTGCCTTCTTTTTGTACTTATCTAGACCCCTTTTTAATTTTTCGTTCAGGTTTGAGTAGCTCTCTGACCTCTCGAATGGAAAGCTCTCCTTGGAAATAGCCTTTTGGTGTTAAATGTAAGCTGAGATTTCTTTCTCAGCAGATTCACTGATCACCAATGTTTAGGCTTAATCAGCAATTTAGCATACTAGTCACAAATATATTGCATTGCTATAACCAATTGTGGCCATTTTAGTTTGGCCTTCTGCCTTTGTAAAGAAAATTTGTTCTCCACTTGAAATAATATTGTATAACTGGATTATTTGTCTGCACCACAGGTGTTGTAAATATAATCTGTAATTCAGTAATCTCTTGATGAATGAAACCTACTTGTGAAGCCATCACAAACTTATCCCAGACAAGAACATTTGCAAATTTTGCTAAGAACCCTTTGCGGCCATGTTATAGACTAAAATCCGCAGTGTAAGAAAAGGGCAGAGGCTACCCTTTCTCAATGTTATATACCCTTTGCACGACTGCATTCCCCTGATGAAGCTCTAGTTTTGTTTGTGGTTATATATGGCAAATCTAAACCAGAACAGAATTAGCATTGAAAAGCACCCGCACAAGTCATCTGATTGAGCACAGAATGCAACTGTTAAGGTGGTCAAAAGATTATCATCCATCAAAATTTCAAAAAAGCAAAAACATAATTGCTTATAATTAATGGTCTGATTGCATACCAAGATCAACAGGAAGGATTAACATCACTATAATCTATTCAATTATCATGCAAAAGTAAACGAAGAATTAGCTCAGAATTCTCTGCAAGAATATCAAAATTGCATTTCATGTGAAATTCATTCCTTGTGTACAAGCAGCAGAAGAGCGTAGAACCTATTTCAATTTCTGCAAACTGATATGTCAAAACTGGCAAAATGAAACAACCAACGCTATCAAAAACAACAATCACAATCAAATGGACAAAGCGGTGTACTTCCGGCATCCGATTTATTAATACCCAATTCTTCTTCGGTGTAAACAGCAAACCCATCTGCAGTTCTCTTGCGAGGCCGAGAAGAAGGTTCCTTCGATCCTTCCTCTTTGATTTCTTCACTCTTTTTACTCTTCTTCTTCTTCAGTGGTTTGGGTTTCGAAATTTCATCACCATTGGGCTTATCAGCCTTCTTTTGTTCAGGTTTCTTCCTCTTTTTACCAGCAAATATCTCATCAATCTCATTACCAGCCTTCTTAGGAGTTGAAAACGGTTTCTTCTGTTCCAGAACAGGTTCTTCTACCTGTTCCTTTTCTGCCTTTTTTGAAGGCGTTTTGGATGGTCTCTTCTTAGGCATTAGCTGAATCTGCATGTCAGAAAATCCAAACCTTCAAAACCCACAAAGATTAATGAAAACAAAAGAAAAACATAAAAGCAAATTGGAAAGAAAAATCTTTCTTAATAATAACAAAGTGTTGTGTCAGAAAACAAATTATCAGCAACAGTAATCAGACAGGGATAACTGTAATAACATTGATTCGCCTCTTCATTCACAACACTGTCAAAAAACGAATCTTTCAAAGGAATTTTCGGCAAATAAAAGGACTGAACCTTCGAAACCAATGAAAACCCATAGTTGCAAACATCTCTCTATCAATCTAATAGTAATAATCATTGCCTCTTACCTCACAGTAGATCCAAAAGAAAACCAGGAGAAGGGTGTCGTCCCTGTTGAAGAGAAGCGAAGACGGAGAAGAGAAGAAATAATAGTGTGAAACTGAGAAGTATCTCTTTTCGAAAAACCCTAAAAGTGGGGGAGAGGATTTTCTTAGTTTGATTTGGACTTAAGCTTTTTCTACTCTTTGGGCTACCTTTGAACTCATTTTGGGCCTTTTGGGACCATTTATATCGCATTGAATTAATTGCCACACTGGACTGGTGCAGATAGTTATCTACCAACCTTTATTTGCACCCAAAGAAGATGTGGAATAAAGCAAGGGATAGCTTTCTTTTCCCATTTTAACGCATCCATTTATTCTTTAGAATCTTTTTCGTTTCCTTGGAAATTATTAGCTTAGAACAAAAGCTATACCCTCTTCACAAGAATTTCTGGATTTTGTTGGAGAGGAATCCAGGAATTGTCCAGGTTCTATCCTGTTAATGTGTTACCATTAAGATTTTAAAATCTAAAATTAACTATAATCAAAATAATCTGTAAAATTCAACTCTTAACACCATAGATGCTGGGATAATGATGATGGAAGGTTGATCACATGACCAATGGTTTAATTCTTCCTGTCTGCCATTGGAGTACTACTAAGTGTTTACTAATGAGATATATATCAAGAGAGAACCACAATTTTCAATACAAGATCTCAAACACTTCAAAATTTTCATAACATTATGAATACATTCAAATTTGATCCGTAAAACCTGTGTTGGATTTCACCTTGTTCTGATGTTCTCAATTTCTCGCCAAGTACGTTCATAACTTTATGGATACATTTAAATTCGATCCCTAAAACCTGTGTTGGATATCAAGATGTTCTCAATTTCTCATTATTACTTAGTAGAGTGCATCGATACTATTCATACACCAGGAATGGGAAACTGGGTTGTCAGTGCTTCAACTCTACTCCGGAGATTAGCCACCTTATCAGTCAAAGGAAAATCAGGAGATGCCACAAACTTCAAGAACTCTTGTAGCTTTGATCCAGACACTAATCCTTTAGCATCAATAGTTATGTGCACACCCTCGTGGATAAAGTCAGCAATAGCTGTGAATTCCTTTTCTGTGAATCCTCTAGTGGTCATAGCAGGTGATCCAATGCGGATGCCACCTGGCACAAGTGCACTCTTATCCCCTGCAACATTCGAGATGTGTTAGTACCTTCTGTGTAATAAGGAAATTTTTTAATGAATTAAAAAAAGAAAGCATATAAGGCGTAACTCACCAGGCACTGAATTTTTGTTCAAGGTGATAGAGGCCATGTCAAGTATTTTCTCCACCCGAGCCCCATCAATACCCTGTTGACAGAGAAGTTGTTAATATAAATAAAAAAAATTAGAAAAAAAAAAAAAGGTGAAGGGAGCATAGGGCATCTATAAAAGAATCACAAAAACACTTCCAATGCTACTCAAAGATTTGAAGATAAAGAGGGCACATGTCTGCACGTCTTGGGGACAGAGTAACTTACCAATGGCCTCAGATCCACAAGTACAAGGTGATTGTCACTGCCACCAGAAACCAGTTTATAGCCAAGTTCTACCAATCGGCTTGCAAGAGCTCTACAATTAGACACTACCTACAGGATGAAGTACACATATTAGATAAGATCATCAAAACATAACTTGGACTGAATTTTTATCTTCAAAGGGCCGTACCTGATTCTGGTAAGCCTTGAACTCTTGTGACTGTGCATGTTTCAAGCAAACTGCTAGTCCACCAATTGTGTGGTTATGAGGACCACCCTGCACAGACAACATCATGCCTCTCATGTCTATAAATGCCTCTCATATCTATAACTAATTCCATAACTTAAAAACCTTAGTTTGAAAGTCAGTAGAAGGTTGGAATAGGGGAATTCAGATTAGTAATAGGACCAAAGGAGACAAGTCAAACTAACCTGCAAACCCGGAAAAACAGCATTGTTAATGGCAGATTCTAAGTCAACTCCAAGAACAGGATCCTTCTTGAAGAAGATCATGCCACCTCTTGGACCTCTCAAAGACTGGAAATAAATGAGAAAATTGAGTTTACTGTGGACATGAATGCCAATGAAGTAAACAGTGCTCAGAAGATACAACACTTTTGGCAAATTAATGGGCAGAGCAGATCTTTCTAATACGCATGACAAACAAAGTGCAGAACTGTATTGTATGCTAGATGATGGAAAAGATCAAGTGACATTAGTCATGCTACAAGAAAGTAAATTTTTTCAGGTACCCTTACTAAATATCAATATTTGGACAAGCAAAACTAATCCTCTAAAGCAGCATGTCAAGTGAATTAACATACACAGAGTTCAACACAGCAATTGTAAGCATTAATCCCAAACCTTGTGTGTAGTAGTTGTCACAATATCACAATACTCGAAGGGGTCAGCAACTACAGAAGCAGCAACAAGTCCACTTATATGAGCCATATCCATCATGAGAAATGCACCAATGGCATCTGCAATCTTCAAACAAATATCAATTCCAATAAGTTATTTGCAAAGATACGGAAAATATCCAAAATACTTAATAAAAAAATCACTACATGGTAGGTATATGGCGGCAGGCTTTACAGCACAATCAGCAAGCACATTAGTCCTTACCTTCCTCATACGAGGATAGTCAAAATCTCGAGGATATGCACTGGCACCAGCAATTATGAGTTTTGGTCGAAAGAGAGTAGCTGTCTTCTCAAGCATGTCATAATCAACAAGGCCTGTTCCAAATTTCAGACAAATTGAATCAACCACCAAGCCAGTACCAACCACTAAACCTTAGCAAGTTTGATAATAAGGATGCATACCTGTAGATTCATCAAGTCTATAAGGCATTGACTCAAAATAGATTGATGTGCCAGATACTCGTCTTTTAGGAGTCATGAATCCATGTGACAAATGTCCCCCATGAGGTAAGTCCAGACCCTATTATCATGTGGATTGCAGATGAAGAAATTCTTAATTTGTATCTTATCAAAGATAAAAAATTAAATTATTAAAACAGGCAGAAGCATCTTACCATTATTCGATCATGTGGATTAAGAATTGCTGTATAAACCTCAAAATTAGCAGGGGAACCAGACAACGGTTGAACATTAACGCCCCATTTCTTTTGATCCAAGTGAAATGCTGCCAAAGCCCTCTTCTGGCAAAGGATTTCAAGTTCATCAATGTACTCATTGCCGCCATAGTACCTGCAATAAACAATAAGATCATTAGCTGCACAGAATTAAATCTCTATGCACTTTGCTTAATTAGATAGACTACCTTTTACCGGGCAGTCCTTCAGAATACTTGTTTGTGAGACATGAGCCAACTGCCTCCATCACTGCACGGGATGTAAAGTTCTCCGAGGCAATAAGCTCAAGGCTTTTAAACTGCCTCTCCTTCTCCTTGCTAATGATTGCACGAACCTCAGGATCAGCTTCGCTGAGGCCAAGGTCCACAAAGCTGTTTTTGAGCACAGGGACAGGGACAGAAGAGGGAGGCCTCCCAGTGACTAAGCTCCCTTCAAGTTGAGCTCTACAGGGTTTCACTGAGTTAAGCTTAATCTGGTGCGGAAATCCACTAATACCAGACCCTTTTAAAGGAAATGCTGGTCTATTGACCCTCATGGGCTGTTGCAAAGAACCCATCATTGCAGCTCCGCTACAAGCCTGCATTCTGGCTTTCCGCTACTATTCCTCACAAAATTCCTACGAATTTACGAACAAAACAGAGAATTAAAATGAAAAATTCAACCCAACACCAATTAATTCCCAAACTTCTCCTTTGTTAAAGCAAAAAATGAAAAGCATTTTACGACTTTTTCCCATAAGCAAAAGAAAAAGAAAAAAAATGAAATTTTGATTTGCATGCAAAGTGAAGTTCTCGCAGGAGACAGATATAAAGCTGACACTTACAAATTCCTGAGATCACCCTAAAACATATATAACTCAAGAATTACAGCATATACTACAATTTTTTCCTAAAAAATGCGAAAAATAAGAAAACTTTTGACTCTGTAGAATCGTAAATAATAGTACCTATACTACGCTGATAAAATCTAATAGAGCGAATTAGTGGGCGAGAAAAGACCTGGCAAAGACCAAGAAGTATGACTCAAGTATAAAATCCAATAACTGGAACTGAAAATCAGAGAGGATAACGGATTTAAAGGAAAAAAAAAAGTGAATGATTCAACGAATACAGAGAAGAGAGCCTACTTTTGGGAAGAGTTTTCTTTTTTCGTTTTCGGAGTGCAACGTTATTGAAATGGAGTGAAGCAAGTGAGTGGCTAAAACCCTAATACTCTATTAAAATTATTGAGCCGCGCTTTACAGACAAAGAAAATAATAAAGAAAAAAATATTGGAAAACCCAAGCGGCTGGATAGCGGAGACTTGGATGTCAGAACTCGGAACTCAGAAAGTGAGGAGGAAAATTGGGAAAAATCTTTGTCGAGGCCAAAAAGTCCTCTGCGGGATGGTCTATCGTGTCTCCTCGTATAAATCGACTCTGATGTTGCCACAGGGCCTACCAAGTCTTGATCATCAGGTAAGGAAGAACAAAGTAACAGCCAAAAAAGGGAATAAAATGACAAACATGCCTGGCATTCCATTTTTTTCCCCTTTTGAAAACTTGCCAAGTTTTATTAGATTTTTCATATACTATGTACGAAAATAGTTCTTTGTCATTTTGTATTAGAAGATAGTTCCTTTTGTGATCATATATTAGAATTTAGAACAAGAAAATGTGATCAATTTTCTTACCTAGCTTGGATGGATTTTAGCTTAGTAAAATATGAAATGTAAAGTGCTAATATACGTAGCATCAGTTTTACTATTATCTGCCTAGTGTTTTTACCAACTTCATTCTTCACCTGAAGTACTTTATGATTTACCTGGTGTGAAACTGATGAGTAATTTGAGAATTAATGCAACAGTAACTTCAAACTGAAACCCAGTGTGATACCAAATGGAAATAGCAGATGCAAAGTTGCTTGCACAATTTGACTCTTCTCAGTTCAAACTTCAAATATTAGCTATTTCAACCTTCCTGCAGTATATGAAGCATAAATTCTTTGATAACATGATGGAAATAAAAGAAAAGAAGAAACCGATGGGTAGGGGGATTCTGCATCAGCTATATTAACATTTGTGTAATTTTCATCATAGAATGTATGTAAGGAGCGGTAAGATTCTTCACAAGAACACCCAGAGGTAGGACAGATTCTTTACTCCACTTGAGAAAGGCCTCCACCAGTTTCAGCCCGGGTCCTGCATGAGTAATCATTTTTTATAAATTAAATTAAGTTGCATATTAAAATACCAATTGAACGAAAACTAATGCATGGATATCTTGAAACTTAATCAAAATAAGAAGAGTGGTTTTTACTACATGAACTTGGAAAACGCTTTGTAGATGTCTATCAATCTCAGCTGTCACAATGTTGCCTACTGTTTAATGCATGATCAAGATTTACAACATCTAGACATTTCAATCAATAGTAGAACAATTCAAAATTCAACAAGAATGCAGGCCGCATTAAAACGCTTAGTTCAAGGTCTATCCCAATACATAACCATTTAGAAAGAGCAAAGACTTACTTGTGATCGGACGGATTGGGTGTAATTTCATAAACAATTGTTGCAACAACATCCCTCTTCAACTGTTAGTCAAATTCAGGAAACTAAATCATTTGAAGCACCAAATTTTTACAGGGAACAGAAAAGAATCAACAACACCAGTGGGTCTGAGCTTTGTCAAGGGAAATACCTGTGTGGCTTCACCTTTAAAACCAATGTAGTGAATTTGAGTTGTGTCACCACCAAAACTCTCAGGGAAATGCAATGTAATACTTGCCACACTTTGAAATTTTGAATACCTAGATATACATATTAATAGACATCAGAAAGACAGAAACTAGAAAACAGAGATGAAACAGAGGTATGCTATTTTATGAATTCTTTTATTAGCATCAACTCAACATTGTCAGTGGATCAGGGCTATGTGGAACAAGTATTCATGCATGACAAATTAAGCAAGTAAACTGCTCAGAAATGGATGAGAAGGGTTCTTAAACAAAGATAATACTGTTTGGAGGGATAAGTACCTACCTTGTCTGATATTCTAACACTCCTTGCAAATTTTCAACCAAATCCCACTCCTTCAAATAAAACATAAACGTTTTAGGCAAACTGAGCTGAATTTATCAGTATAATCCATGGCAAGGCAAGACAACCAATACCTGCACAGGTTGCATGCCTTGAGCATCAGAGAAGTCAATGCCTTCTCGATTTATAAACCTAATCAAGACAAATTGAAAAAAAAAAATCTTATATTAGGAAAATTGCAAAAGAAAATAACTAGGAAAAAAGTAATATGGACAGCAGATGCCCCTTTCAAAACACTACAGTCTTATGCTCTTTGGAACACCAAAATCAAAGATATCTTCAGTGTGAAAGCAGTTAAAATATCATCACTGCAATTCATGTTGAATATTAACCTTCATTTTCTAACTGCAGATTAACCATTTCAGAAGCAACAAAACCACTTGGTCAGTCATATAAACTTACACTCTCATCTTAGAAGGACTTGTTCCATCAGCACCGCCAACAACTGATATGCTCTTGATCTTCACATCTGATGTAAATCTATTAGAACAAACCCAACAAGTACATGACAAGTTAGACAAGCACTACTGGAACATGAAAATTCCAAACCAAGAAAATGAACAAACAGACTCAACCACTTGATTCATGATATACATTTCAAGCATACCCTGAGTTAGCAAGCAAGGAATATAGCAATAATAATGTATAACAAAGCAGAAAAATGAGACCCGTACATTGGGTAAAAATAAAATGGAATACTATTTATCAATATAACACAAATTATGAATTTGTCATCCCTGATATTCAAACCAGCAAGCTTCCTTCACTTAGCTCAAGCACAAAAAATTTAAGGTGGTCACTTGTCATATCAACAATTCTGCAGACATAGATGGTGGTTTGTAAATCCAAGCAAGTAAAGGCATGAACATTCAAAGCAAACTTTCAGGTAAACCACTAAACAACTAAAAACAGCCACATACGGGATATAAACAAGTAACTCAGGATCACCCTCATTGCTTTCCAAGTGTTCCTGCCACAATTAAAAACCCCACATTAAGCTTCACATACCATGAACTTGACAAATACTTTGATGCATAATTCAAAATTCTCCCAGAAGCATGCTAACACAAGCATGTACAATATATATATATATGCACTTCTTCATTTGTTTCAACAAAGAAAACAACTGATGCATGATATAAGAAAGATGAGAGTACATTAATTAAACAATAATAAAAATTTACCCCAGAAGAATTCAATCGGTCCTCCCAAGCTTTAAACACCGATTTAACACTTCCTGGATTAGCCTCATTTAGAGCAGTTACCTAAACGATAACCAAAATTCCAAGAAACGAAAGTAATACTCCATGTCAATTCATTAAAAGTGGAGAGTGGAAAAATGAAAAGAAATTATAGTTAAACATTCAATTAGGGAAAACAAAAGTCCACTTATGAAAACACACAAGTAAAATCAGAAATGAGTCGATTGAATCTTCAATATATTTAAACAAAAAATAAGAGAAACAACCTTGGCAAGGTCGATGTGCTTGTAAAGAGACCAATTAGAAGAACAATCGTGATCTTCGCAGCTGTGGTCATGCGTACACGCCATTTTCGCCTTCTCTTCGATCTCTCTCACTTTCGCAGCCAAACGAAGCAAAGAAGCAAAAAGCAAAAGGAAGAAGGAAACAAAGCGAGAACACTCGAGAAAACAGCCAAACACGAACGAAAGCACGCGGCAAAAACGCACCGTTTCTCCAACCTTTACTTTCCTTTTTAGTCCACCTTAGAACGACGCCGTTAAAGTTGTTATGATAAGGGTAAAAACGCACCGTTTCGATCGTCTCTATGGCAATTTCCTTTCCTCCTCTCTCCCCATCCGTCCCTGCGCTTTCCAGGTTGCTATGTCTTCTCTACCGAAGGAAGGAAATCGAGGGAAAATGAAAATGGAAGGAGTCGAAGGAGACGCCTCGGTGGGTGGAACAGGGCGTTACACTCTGAAACCAACACGAAAAAACAACGAGGACATAATATTTTGCGTGGACGTGGACGCAGAGTCGCTTGTTGAGATGAAAACAGTGGGAATCACCAGATTGGATTCCATAAGGCAGGCCATCATTCTCTTCGTCAACTCCAAACTCTCCATCAACCCCGATCACCGCTTCGCTTTCGCCACTCTCTCCAAATCCGCCTCTTGGGTATTTTTCCCTTTCTCCTTTTGTTTTCTTTAATTTTAGTTTAAGATTGATTGGAAATGTGGGAAACAGAAGGAAGTAGTGTAGGATTTCATGAATTCGAATAAAGGACTTGAAAGTTATTTATTTATAAATTTTTTTTTCTTTTTGATTCCCTGTGATTTTACAGCTTAGAAAAGAGTTCAGCAGTGATGTTGAGTCTACCATTGCTGCTGTTCGGGCACTCTCGGCTATTACCGTCTCTTCTGGCCAAGCTGATCTCACCAATTTATTCCGCTTAGCAGCTCATGAAGCAAAGAAATCTCGTGCACAGAACCGGATTTTAAGAGTGGTCAGTATCCATTTCTTTTCCTCTCTATCATTGTTATTATGGTTAAGTTGGGGAAAGGATTGGAACTTGGGACCTTCTTTTCTAAGTGTCGCTACCAATTAGGTTGTGTCTCAGTAATTTATCTTTGTTAATTATTGTTAGAATTCATTAACTACACCTGCTTGGATGTTGTTTTTAATTTCAAGGCGTCCTTTGTTTAATGAATTTCTAGGAATGATTCCCATTTCTTGTAAAGATTAAGGTATGAACCTTTGGTATGTGCATCCTAGAGTTGAAATATATTAATGTTTCTATTTCCTCATTCTTCCTCAGTAATTCTGACACATGGTGTGATATTTTGCTGGTCTTTTAGATTCTTATATACTGCAGATCATCGATACGGCCCCAGCATCAATGGCCTGTAAACCAGAAACTCTTCACTTTGGATGTGATGTACCTCCACGACAAGCCTGGACCAGATAACTGTCCCCAGGTGGTCTATGATGCACTTGTTGATGCGCTTGAACATGTTAGTGAGTATGAAGGATACATCCATGAGAGTGGACATGGTCTACCACGTACTCTCTTCCGTTTCATGTCTATGTTGTTGTCTCACCCTCAACAGCGTTGCCCTCAAGACGACTGTGATATTCCCAAGCCTCTTATGAAGAAGTCAGCTGAATCAGGAAATGGTGAAGATAGTGTTCTTATATCCACCAGCCAGTGAGAATATTAACCACCAAATTTCCATGCTGCTTCGATCCTTGGGTTTTAGCAGTATGATTTCTGGATGTGCTGAAATAAGATACATGGACAAGATGACCTATTTATCTTCTGTAAACATTCTGTACAGATTAAACCCTTTCTGTGTGTGCTTATGAAACTGTTTCATTTAATATATGATTCAATATATCATTATCTTACACCTACACAGTAAATGCTCATCCAATCTGGGGGATATCTTACACTTTTTATATTTCAGCTTCTTGAATGAAGATGCTTCTTTGTCAAATTTACTGCTATAATTATCAATCATTCTTGTTATAGTTATGGATCAATGGATATGACAATGTGAATTTTCTTAACATGTCAGAGGCAGCCGCAGGAGCATTTCTTTAAGCATTTATTTAGTAATGAACTCTCCTTGATCCTTGACTTACACACGCACACCAGACAAGACTTGTCCAAGAGCACCAGATGCAAAAACCTTTGATCCAACATTTGGCTGCAGACTGCACATTAACTAGTCCACATAAAGGGTGCAAAAGCTTATAACCATTGATTTAATGCATGCCAAGTGTTCTATTATTAATGCATGCCTAATCCTAATACATTGGTTTTGATTATAGAAGGAATCTTATCTGGAAAGTTCAAGGTTTCCAAGCATTTCATTTGATCACAAATGTTTTTCCATTAAAGAATTAGTATAACGCTATTGTATAAATTAAAGTCAGCATTCAAGATGAAGTTTCTTTATCTGATAAGATGTCTGGGTTATCCAAACTACTGATGCAAAACATTGGGGGAAAAGAAAAATGGAAGTCTGACCTGTACGGAGTATGGGAGAAGGATGGGTTTATTTGACTAAACAAAGAATGAAGCGTGCGTATAAAAGTGTATGGCTTGGATCAAAATGTTGCGATTATGTTCGTCCTGTCATCATTAACGCGTGTTCTTAGGCTTCTAGTCTGCTACGTTTGCCAATCAGGGCATCGATTATTCAGTTTCACCCAACAAAAAATGAAAAACTCGAAATAGTAGAAATCTGGTGGGCTTTTGTTTCTCTATCTAATTCGAATACCAGTTTAGAATCAATTATTGATCTTTAAAGAATAAGAATTACATAGATTCAACGCTAATAATTGTTAAAATGCAGTCAATGGTTCCTTGGAGGAAGGGGAGTCGGCAACATTATATGATTACAATATTCAAATAAATTTCATCATTCATGTAAATAACTAAACAATATAAAATTATAATAAGAATATATTAATCTTCTCCTCCCTTTGATTTAATGAATTGGAGAATTCTAAAGGACAAAAATAACACATAGTTAAACACCCTTTACCATCTGTGTAAGGATATTTGTTTTGAATTTTTTTTTTATTTTGGGTTAAAGGAAGGCATAATACTTAAAAAAACTTTATGAATTATTTAAGAAAATTTATGTAAATTTTTATTATATTTAATAAAATCTTTACATTTTTAGTTTGAATCAAATAAACTCTTATAACTAATAAATGTTGACCAAGATATCACTTATTATTTTTTACTATGTGACATTGAAATGGCATAGTAACATATTAAATAATAATATAGCATGATAATATAATTAATTAAATAATATTTTCATCATTTACATCAACATCATATTAGTGTCAAGTACGTATAAAATGATAAATAATATTTTAATTAATAATAATTAATTAAATATTGTCATAAGTGTCTTAATCTAATATAAAAGTAGAAATTTGATTGAATGTCATAGGGATTTATTTAAATATTTTAAAATAATTTAAAAATTTTTTCAAGTATTGTGTGAAAAAAAAAATAATAGAGCAAATGTTATTAGAATTTTGTTATTATTATCTTGCTCCCACTGATCAAACTTCTAAGTTTTCTAGTTTCAATTCTTGTTAGTGATTTTATAAAATAATAAAAAGACTTTTTCTCTTTCAATTCCAGCTGCTTCTGCCAAAACTACACGACATGTTTGCTCATCAAGAGCCCTGCGCTGGTCTCCAGGAGCATAGCATAAACAAAATCCAACCAATTCGGAAAGGGACCCATCCATTTGAATAATTGTCTGTTAATTAAAAGTCAACTTGGATAATCAACCAAGTTTTAAGCGATCTGAAAGAAAAGTCCACAATTTGTACGGTTTTGATCTTATGATCAACTCTATCAGATTAAGCAATGAATCAGCCTGACGTACCTCAAACAATTCCTTTCCCCTAACTTGTGCATGCTTGGCAGACTTCAATGAACCATGATTACGCTCTCTTGAGGGTAGCATTAAACGTCTTTCAATAGCTTAATTATTTGTTTTTTCTTTTGAAGAGTTGACCAACATTTTAATGCATCTTTTTATAGTTGTGTCTGAAAGCTGTTGAGTTGATCTTAAAACTGATTCCTTTTGGCCATGGATCCAGTCTTTTTCCCCTGTACAGTACATATACTTGGTCAAGCGTCAACCACCCCTTCCTTTTTTACTTTTTGGAAGGGACCAACCGTCCATTTTGCCTTTAATTTTTATGAACTTAGGCTTACATGAGCCCTCTGGGTCACACAGTTCATCAATTGTTCATTGGGATTTCATGAAATGTAACGTTAGGGGCTTGTAAATCATGTGACATGTATTCCACGAATATGTTTAAGAGCTATTTCCAAAGAATTTGAGGCGAGGAAGAGGAAATTTCCTTGTGTACTTGAGAGGCAAGAGTTTGATTGTCTTGTCAAGATACTAATCTTTGCAGGAATATGCCTCTTTAGGTGAATCTTGGGGTAGCCTATAATAATACTCTAACAATTAATTAAGAAAGAAGGGGAAATAGCAGCGAATTTATTAATGAAGTGGAGTGTGCTTTCAGGTCATTGGGAGCCACTTGTGCCGCCATATATAATTATTATCTTGCTAACATGCGCATTGTGGGAGTCCTTAAACACATGATTGAAGGGACTGTTTTCCTCAAGTGATCGGAATTTAATAAGGTGGTGGTGACTTTGGGTGGAGAATAAGAAAATTCTTTGTATTCAGTTTGAGATGGGAATCTGCATATCCGTTGCATCTTCAGAGATTCATGAGACTGAAGACTGCCAGGAAAATGTTGTCTACTTGGAAGAAAACATTGCTTCGATCGGAATTCAGGGACTTGGCTCTCTTTACTCTAGGCAGGGAAGCAAAGGACTGAACCAGGATGCTGCCATCCTTTATCAGGTTTGCCACTGCTACTCCTTAGTTATGTTATGGCAGTTTTAAACATGATAGTTGGTTTATTTTGCTAATCAAAAAGGAATTAATAGGTTGAATTGAGATGGGATCAAACTGAGTATATAATGTTTAGTTTTTGGTTGATTAAAACTCTGAAGTGTTTGTGTTCTTCAAGGACTATGGAATGGAAGGTGGAGCTCTTTGTGGAGTTTTTGATGGTCATGGAAGGAACGGTCACATAGTGAGCAATATGGTGAGAAACCGGTTGCCATCACTCTTGCTAAGCCAAAAGAATGCCCTAGCAACGATGAAGACATCAGCAGATGACAAGAATTTCCAGGATCAAGTGGCAGATTTAGAGAGTGGATCGGTATTAAGCAAGGATTTGCTTAAATGGCAGGAGGCTTGCATCAGTGCCTTCAAGGTGATGGACAAGGAGATTAAGCTTCAAGAGAATTTGGACTGCTCTACCAGTGGAACCACTGCTGTTGTTGTTGTGAGACAGGTAAGAAAGCTAGCGTTTGTGATTTTTGGAAACTATTTGGAAATCGAAGTCCCATGTTTATTTATTGTTCCCTATTGGTTTTTCAAAGGGTGAGGATCTTATGATTGCAAACCTTGGCGATTCAAGGGCGATTCTAGGAACAACAACAGCAAATGGTATCAAGGCTGTTCAATTATCTACTGATTTGAAGCCTGGTTTACCCAGTAAGACCCTTTTCCTTTCTGATAAAGCAAAAAAAGTCCTTCCTCTGAACCTTCAGAAAATTATTTGTTCTTCTTATACGACTAAATTCTTTGCCAACTCTTAGTATACCCCAGGAAGAAAAACAGCATGTATTCTAAGGTGTATGGAGCAATCACTGCTCACAGCATCTTTCTTGCTACAAGTCATTCCGAAGGACAGACCATCAAAATAAAGTTATCCTGGCAGGACTGAAGAGCATATACTATAGGAGTATTATTTTTTTCTTCAAGCCATCCTTTTTGTTTGTAGTGGTTGATCAATTATTTTGATACAGGTGAAGCCGAACGAATCAGGAGTTGCAATGGCAGGGTACTTGCTTTAAAGGAAGAATCGCATATCCAGCGTGTGTGGCTGCCCCATGAAGATTCTCCAGGCCTGGCCATGTCTCGAGCTTTTGGAGACTTCCTACTCAAGAACCATGGAATAATTGCAATCCCTGACGTCTTCTATCACCACCTTACTCCAAACGATCAGTTCATTGTTCTTGCAACAGATGGGGTAAAGCCTATTTCACAGAAGCAATAATGCTTTGTAGAAAGTTTCCACTATAAGAATGAACCTGAACATTTGTTTTTGGCCTGTTTTCTTAAGGTATGGGATGTGCTAAACAACAGCCATGTTGCCTCCATAGTGATGGAGGCAGAGAGTGAGCAGGCAGCCGCAAGAGCAGTGGTGGAGGCAGCTACCGCCTCATGGAAGAAGAAGTTTCCATCTTCAAAAGTAGATGACTGTACCGTGGTTTGCCTCTTCCTCCAAAAGAAGCAACATCCAAGTTTCTTGCCTGCGAAGACCTAACTAGTTGGTCGGCCTCCTCTGTTATTTTTGTGATAACCTTTGTCGTATAAGTTTTTAGATACTCTTGTGACTCAGTTAGCCACCGTTAACTATTCTAAGATTGAGGTCTTGGTCCAAACGATTGTAGCCACGTTGTATCCATTACGTTGCCAAGAAAACAAAATGTATGGAACAGTCAGTTTCATATTTGATTAATGATCTAAAACTAATGGCTGACGCAAAGTCATGAACTGTACAGGTTTGGAGATGAGAAGAGGTTTTAATGATAAAACCAGATTCCTTCGACGATGGAAGATCCAAACTACTCATCGTTTTGTTTTGGGTTTGGCTAATAGGGACATGGACTGTTTTAGCGACTATCGACAGACATACCACAAACATGAGATTTTCTAAAGCTTCGAGTGATATCAATCAATGTTTTCCTCTTTTACTTGTAAAACACCTAGGAAAATGTCAACACAAACATCCTGTTTATACCAGCCAATACTCAAAACCACTGATCCCCTCCCAGCCAGTATTTGATTAGTTTCAGATTTTAAAGTTCAAAGCAATATCTTAAGATGGAACTCTCCACTGGACCCATAATCTAAATCGGACCTCCATTTGAAGCAAAGATAAGATGAGAAACAAGTATCAATAAGATAACCCAGAAAAAGGATACTGAATAAGAGAAATCAAAAAATTTTACCTTTAAAATGGCATTTTGATTCAAGAACGAGTAATGACCTGGGTAATTCTCTCATTAAGTGGGGAAAAAGATCTCATCTGTAGCCTCCCAAACCATGTAAAATCCCTTGTATCAATAAATCTATGCATGCAAAATTGATGCCAAGCAAAATTTGCAAAATTTCCAATTTTTCAATGATCATATTTATCGTCTTTTGGTTCCTCTCCTAGAAGGTCATCATAAGAGACAGGGACCCTAATCCTCTCATGAACAGATTTGCGTGTTCCTTCAGCACTGAACTGCTCTTGCAGGTTTTCAGGTATTAGTTGAGAATCTTCTGGAACACTTGCTGAAGTTCCATTAGCAAGTGTACAGGCCGGTCCTTGACAAGACCTCTCTTTGTTCTGTGCCAGTGCTTGGCCGACATTTTGTTGCTTAAATTGCTTCTGCAAAAACATAAATAACATTACTCACATATTTTAGAATACTATTCGAAGAATAAAGAGAATCGAATGGACCATAACATTATACAAGAACCAAGAGGCTTATGAATTGCATTGGAATGGCGTCATGAATCCAGTTCAAAGACTATTATATCAGATACAAGAGTCGCTTGAGTCATACTAAATTCTCACATAAAAAAGAACTTATCACTACCGCAATCAGATTTCTAAGCAAAACTACAAAGCCACATAAAACTGTCACAGACTATTGAGTGTTGATCTAAGAAATAGATTCTATATAAGCAGAGCTTATGAAGAACCACCCAACTGGTTGCTAACAACATTATCTAGACATCCAATTGATAGGTGATCATTGAAAGCTCTCATGCAGACATGTATATTTTCAACTGTCTAAAAGGAAAAGAACAGCATTTTTTATGACCATAAGTACAAACCTCAAAGTCCTTGGCTTTTTTCATTATCTCACGATAAGCAGCTGGTTCCCGTGCTTTTATGATATTCCATAATATCCCACCACCTGTCCGACAACGTCTTCCATCAGCAGTCATCTGACCTCCACAAGATTGAATTGCATCCACCTGAGACCTTTATGTTTCATCATAGACATCCCAGTAGGAACAATAGCTTGGAAAAGAAAATGCAAAAGCTCTTGGGTGTGGAAAGAAAAAGGATGAAGGAAAGAAAGGAACAAAGTAAGGGGATGGATAGCACAGTAGCAAATATGAAAATATTGTTTGCTCAAAGCTTAAACTACAGAAATCATCATTGTAACATTAAGCAATTATTGAACACACAACCAAAGGCATAGAGTTGCCATAGATGTAAAAGGACAAAATGAAGAACAACTCAAGAATTTCTACCAATTATTCCTCGTATACAGGTCAAGCAATAATAGCCAAGGCAAAGACTTTTAACCCATCACCTCTTATGTGGCATGGAAAAAAGAATTAGACATGAAGCTTCAATATTTTCTCATGATCCTACAATCTGGATAATTAGACATGAAGGGCTGTCTTTCATTTTTGAACATATGCATTCTTATAGTTGGCAGTTTGATATGCAAAAACCTACTTGATAAAATATTTACATCAACGCTGAGTTGTGCAAGTCCAAGAAAGAAAAATTGGTAACAACCTATATCAAAAGAAACTTATTAAGTATCTCAGTTCAGAGCACAGGACTTGAAGTAGCAAATGACATCTGTAAAAAAAATCTGCAATGGCAGGGAAAACATTGTAGATCATCAGATGTTAAGCGTGGAATGGTTTTTAAAAAGAGTGGTCAAGCATTGGCAGCCTAGGCAGGCTCAAAATGAAGTGCAACCCACATTCTCACCTTTCCTTAAACAACGAAATGAATATTTTTCTCGTTCACTAATGGCAGTAATTTATTTTTAAAAGCACTGATCTTATTGGGAACAAAATAAAGGCCAATGTAAAAGGAGTAAGCTTAGGTTACTCAGAATTTAGAGGTACCACCAAGATGACAGCAACAGGCAAGACCAAAATTAGCTGAGGAGCTCTCAAAATGGTTTAAGACAGAAATGTTACCAAGCACAAACTTATTAACTTCTGAAAGAGAAGTTACCAATGCACCATAATCCCAGCTAGACAAAGTGACATGAACCAAACTCAACTAAGCTTGTCTGAGCATTATAGAACAGGCAACATTAACACAGCCTAACCAAATTATCTATCATTATTCATACAGATTTTCTGAAGAAACAACAGCATAATCTCAACAAGTTTCAAACATCTCAGAACTTCAAAGCACATATAAATTTTCACTAGTAATATTTATAAATTAAACAATTTAGTTATGGTGAAGCCAACATTGAATTATACATTAAGCACACAAAAAAATTAAATAAAATAAATAAATAGCTTGAAAGGGATAAAATTAAAAATACCTCTCTAACAAGATCACTTAATGCAGAAACCCCCAAACATCCCACAGCAGTGTATACCATGTACGACTTCCTCTCTTTTAACCGTCTACAAGTATCTAACACAAACCTGCAAAACCCCAAATTTAACTTCTTCTCAAAAAACCAAACTTACCCCATTATATATACTGTTTATTTAGTTTATTTATTGATGCAATGAAAAATTAATTTTCACAGATATTACCTGTTTATATCAAAAGCTTTACGCCCCGAACCATCCTTCTTTTTCTTGTTCTTCTTCTTATTTGCTCTGCGCTTTTTGCTTTTACTTTGGGACCCTTCGCTTTCAATGTTAGCATCTGCAACGCCGCTTTGTTCCCGATAATTTCCCGAGTTACTATCCACGAGCTCTCCTTCTTCTACATCAAGCATCTCAACATCTTCGCCATCCCCTAAACCATCCTCTTCGTAAATCGCTTCCAATATGCTCTCTCCTTCCCCCATCAAAAAAATCTAAAGAAACAACTCCCAAAACCTTCCTTCGTAAACCTTTATATGTAAAATCAAACGCTTGTCGGCGAGCTTGCAGTGATGGTGCGGTTGTTCGAGTTTTGCTCTGTGGCGAGAGAGTTCAAGAGGCGGTTATTTTGGGCTCGACGAATGGATTTTGTCATTCGTGGGCATTAACCGGGCAAGGGCAATTGGATCAACGACTGGGCCATTCTTTTGTCTGAATATTATGGAGTTAGCCCAAATGAATAAAAAATGATAAAAAGGCTCTGGGCCACGTTTGGGCTAATTTTATCAGTCCTTTGTTTGTAAAATTCCTATTTGATATATTGTCAGTATTATTAATGATTATGATAAAATGTGATCATTTTCTTAATTAATAAATTTAAAAATTAAATTTTTTTAAAAATAAATATTTATTTAAAATTTAAATAATTTATAAATAAATAATTATTATAAAATATATGTATAAATGTCTATTATCTTATAATTCAAAAAATTCAAATCAAATTAAACAGTGTATCGAATTTTCATAATAAATATAATTTAATTTAAATTTTTAAATTTGATTATGTATATTTAGATAAGATTTTTATTTTATTAATATTTTTCTCTTATAATTAATTTTTTAAATTATATTTTACAACAGGAATAATATATTAATATTGTGCACACACCATAGAGCGGAATTCTTCACCATCAAACTTGCATCATGCAAATAATAGTAATACCCGCATTTTTCCACAAAGTTGGCATTATGTTATTGCGTAAATAGCAATGGAGTAGCCCTCCAACCATTATTTTACTCAACAAATTCTGTTCCTTTCTCTAGAAACTAAAAGAGTGTCGCGGCCCCGTTATTCCTACCTTTTATTTCTTTAATAATCAATCTTAGGAGTACAATTCGTATTGATTTATAGCCATTGCAAATCCTTAGAAGCTGACACTGTACTACACCGTTTGCTACTCCGTAACGGATAACATGATCCATTTGTGCAATCAAGTGCAAGCTAGGCATGACAATGAACCTTGACTTGGAATTATCATCAATACTCCGTAACGGATAACATGATCCATTTGTGCAATCAAGTGCAAGCTAGGCATGACAATGAACCTTGACTTGGAATTATCATCAACGAAACTACCACTTGCCCGACTTGGAACTTCACCCATGTCTGATATTAAAGTATGACAATGGCGTTCATTCCCAACCCCCACCCCCCCAGCCAAGAAAAAAAGGTATGATAATGGCTGCGAAAACAAAAGCAATACAGTTTGGTGAAAATGACAGCCGTCGATAATTGGCTTTGAATTATATATTACTCAAACAAAACGTACACTAAACCGCCATCATTCATGAAGCGATCCATCACTAGCACTTTGATTAGTTCTACGTGGGGCTGTGTACCGATATAGTTCACCCCATGGTCTACATGCAATTTCAATAATAAATTCAAGGGGGCTGTCTAAATCAATCCTCCTTGCGCAAGAGCAACGAACCCTAGTGGAGGAGGAGTGTACGGAAGGGATTCCTTCGCTATGTCACTATTAATTGATTCCAAAAGATTCAAGTCCATGCCTACGTTTCAAGATAAGGGGGAGAGAGATTCCCCGACCGGGAAAAGCGAAAGGACAACCGAATAAGTTGTGACTTAAAATAATCTAAAAAAGAGTGCTAATTATTTGGATTTCGTTTACTATTGTCCTAAAAAAACTATTTAAATATTAAGTAACAAAAACAATTTAATTTTATTAATATAAATTATAATGTTTAATACAAAAAATATTTGATATAATATCTAAAAATGTCACTTAATTATTCAAAAATATTTTAACAAAATTTTATTATCTTATTATGTTTCATTAAATTATTATTTTTTATTTTAAATTAAATAAATTAGTATAATTAATAATTAATTAATTAATATCAATTAAAAGTCACTTGTAGTGCAAATCACATAATATTAGTGTAGTATATAAATATATTATAATAAATAATATGTGATATGATAATATAATTATATGATAATATTTTTATTTATTAATATAATATGAATATAAAAAAATATTATTTTGATTAATAATAATTTATTTATTTTTATTTTTAAAAAAATATAAAAATTTAATTAAATATAAAAAAATATAAAAATTTAATTAAATATAAAAAAATATATCTAAATATTTAACTAATTTAAAAATATCTTTACAGCTATTATTAACAAAAATCCTTAATCCTTTCGGCAAGAAAATTGGAGTTTTTGAGTTTTCTTTCTCCGGGAATAACCAGCCAATAGGACACAATTACGTAATAAACTGGTCGACTCCGTGGGCCCCACAGAGCCCACGAAATTCAACCTCTCTCCCACCCCATTTTTTCCTCACTCTCATCAAAGCCGCCACCTCGAACGGGTCCCAACGTCGACGGCCAAAGATGCAATCACACAATCACACATCACAATAAAAAGGTCATAAAATGCATACACTGGGGCCCTCCACATAGTATCATTATATTTAAAATTTCTACTTATATGTTAGCTGCAAAGCCTTGAATTTTTGCATTGTCATCAAAATCAGTTTTCTTTCCTACTTCCAATTTAATTAAAGGTTAGCCGAATCATGACCCGTCTCGTTGCCCGTGTGATTCTTCTCCTATTGTCTTTGACTGGAATCGTCTCTGCTGGTAGAGATATCACCGGAGACGTTCTTCGGTTACCGTCCGAAGCTTCTAAGTTCTTCCGTGGGAGCAACGATGATGAAGCCGAGGGCACGAGATGGGCGGTCCTGATTGCTGGATCTAATGGCTACTGGAACTACAGGCACCAGGTCATAAAGTCGTCCCCAATTTCTAATTTTCGTGTTTGGCATGATCTTTTAAAAGTTTTATGATCATTTTTTTTAATGTCCACTTCACTTCAAAAGAGTCTAATTTGGGAAGAAAGTTAAAGGTTTTTGTTTAGATTTTAAGCTGAATTTATCGGTTGATTGATAATCGATTGACGGGTCTTACTTTTTGCTAAGGATATTTATATTTGTTTCAGGCTGATGTTTGTCATGCTTATCAACTCCTTAGAAAGGGTGGTCTCAAAGACGAAAATATCATTGTCTTCATGTATGATGACATTGCTTTCCATGAAGAAAACCCCAGGCCTGGAATCATCATTAACAGTCCTCATGGCGATGATGTTTATAAGGGAGTTCCAAAGGTCTGTTCTTTTTTTTTTTTTCCTGGTTACTGTTTTCGAGAGAAAAATTGTTGATTGTACGATTTCTGATCTCACCGTTTCCTAATTGGTGCAGGATTATACTGGGGAAGATGTTACTGTTAACAACCTTTTGGCTGCCATCCTCGGGAACAAAACTGCTCTGACCGGGGGTAGCGGAAAGGTGGTGGATAGTGGCCCCAATGATCATATCTTCATATACTACACTGACCATGGGGGTCCTGGAGTGCTTGGTTAGTAGTATCTCATTAGCACTTATGTCTTATCGCTTTCAGACTACCTTGCACCTTAGCTTTATAGCTTATAGTGGAGTCTAGTGTGGTTTCAGCTGGAAACTTAATATTAATTTATGAAGCTGCCAATGATTCATTTGTTGTTAATCCAGGGATGCCTACCTTTCCTTATCTTTATGCTGATGACCTGATTGACGTTTTAAAGAAAAAGCATGCTTCAGGGACCTATAAAAGCTTGGTAAACTGTTGTTATAACTTTTGATTTCTGGATGCATTCTCCATCTCTTTAGTGGCATTTTAATATCTGGTCTACATGTAACTTTGTAGGTATTCTATCTTGAAGCTTGTGAGTCAGGAAGTATCTTCGAGGGTCTTCTTCCTAAGGGTTTGAATATCTATGCAACCACAGCATCAAACGCAGAAGAGAGTAGTTGGGGAACCTATTGTCCCGGAGAGGACCCAAGGCCTCCCCCAGAGTATCAAACCTGCTTGGGAGACTTGTACAGTGTTGCTTGGATGGAGGATAGGTATGGATTAAAGCATGCTAATCATATAACTAAATCAGAGGTGACGTGGGTGATACAAATGCAATTTTAATTCTCTTAGTAATGATCTGGACTAATTTAAGAGATTCTTCAAGCTGAATCAGCTTATAAAATTTTCTTTTTTTCGAATTACCTCTCTTGCTGTGAACTTTAATATTATGTTTCTGTGAGCAGTGACATACATAATTTGCAGACAGAAACTTTGCACCAGCAGTATGAACTGGTAAGGTTTTTAAAAAGCATATTTTCCTGAACCTTTTCCTTTCTTTACTGGTAAAAATGGAAAACTTCAATTACATTTTGCCTATAGTAGTTATTTATTACCATCGAGATCTAAGAAGTACGAAACTATATCCAGACAATGGTCTAAATTACTCTGACATCAGAGTCAAGTGCTCATTTATTCATTACTATAAAGTGCCAAAAACCTTCTAGTTTTGCTGTTTCGATCTGATATGCAATTTCATTTTGCTGCTTTTGCAGGTGAAAAGGAGGACTATAAATGGTAATGCTGCATATGGCTCTCATGTCATGCAATATGGTGATATAGGGCTTAGCATGGACAATGTCTTCGTGTACTTGGGTACAAATCCTGCAAATGATAACTTCACATTTGTTGATGAGAACTCCCTGCAGCCGCCTACAAAAGCTGTTAACCAGCGTGATGCTGATCTTGTCCATTTCTGGGATAAGGTTTGTGTCTTATTTCTTTTAAATTACAGTATATATTAAACTCAAGAATTTGCTTTTTCCCATCAATTCTTTTAATAGAATGAGGCATCAGTACATATATGAGACATTCAGAAATGGGCAATAATTTGGTAGTTAAAAGTTAGCTGTCTGTTCCTGGGGTCGGTATAACTAACTATACAATCTGTAATTGGGAGATGACACTATTATCTGAACTCATTTAATGGGTGTTGTAAATAAGATATTGTGGTATTTGGTGTTTTATGGAAGCATTTCCTTACCATGTTCTAGTAATACCTAAAGCTGTGAGGAGGAACTCCAATGAGTAGAGTAATTGGAATACTGAAAGTGTAGAGAACATGATTTCTTCTTAGATTGAATATTTAGATGGACATCCTACAAATCTTATGGGTGCAAAAAGGCAGGAGCCTGGAGTTATGTTTG